GGAGGAGGTGGTGGAGAAGGAGGAGGAGGAGGAGGAGGAGGAGGAGGAGCAGGAGGAGCAAGAGGAGGAGGAGGAGGAGGAGGAGGAGGAGGAGGAGGAGGAGGAGGAGGAGGAGGAGGAGGAGGAGGAGGAGGAGGAGAACGAGGAGGAGAATTTCAAGGAGGAGCAGGACGAGGAGGAGAAGGAAGGGGACGAGGAGGAGCAAGACGAGGAGGAAGAGGACGAGGAGAACGATGAGGAGTAGGAGGAGGATGAGGAGGACGAGGAGTGGGAGGACGACGAGACGGAGAACGATGAGGAGGAAGAGGACGAGGGGAGGGAGCTCGACGAGGATGATGAGCACGAGGAGGAAGAGGAGGAGGAGGAGGAGGAGGAGGAGGAGGAGGAGGAGGAGGAGGAGGAGGAGGAGGAGGAGGAGGAGGAGGAGGAGGAGGAGGAGGAGGAGGAGGAGGAGGAAACACCAGCATGAGCACAAGCAGCAAACAGTAGTACTGAGCATCCGCCTCACAATCGAGCAGGAACATAAAATACTCAGCAGCAGTAGGAAACACCATCACGAGCACAAGCAGCGGAATGTAGTAGTGAGCATTTGCCTCACCATCGAGCAGCAACAGAAAATATTCAGCAGTAGTACGAAACACCAGCACGAGCACAAGCAGCGGACAGTAGTAGTGAGCATTTGCCTCACCATAGAGCAGAAACGGAAAATGTACAGCGGAAGTAGAAAACACCAGCACGAGCACAAGCAGCGAACGGTAGTTGTCAGCATCCTCCTCACCATCCTCCTCGCTTGCCACGTTGACCAGCCCGAGGTCACTGTTGGCGGCACCCTTTGACTGTAATGATTACACAGAGCTGGATGACAGATGGATGTCGGATGGATGTCAGGTCACTTGGGACACAATGCCGGCCTTAAAAATCTCACCTACCACCCTGACATCCGTCGACATCCATCGACATCCGTCTACATGTCACTTTGGACACTCCCTTAGGTGCAATTGTGTTGTCAAACCAATCAAGCGTTTGCAGCTAAAAAAACGCCGAGGCTAGGATACTGTACGGGGCGGCAAATCGGAGTTTTGGGCTGCTTTGCATGTCGTTCGTTCTTTGGGTGTGCAACAAGCGAGCGAATTGGCTCGCTCAAGACGGGTAGGACAGAATCAGACGTGGCAAATATATCTCTCCTCACCCTCAACTCACCTTGCGCAAAACGACTGTTAGTCAGTGGAATTTTGTCGGGGAAAACTTGCTCATCTATTCTTCCCACCGTCTTCGCAGTGTTCTTTTGGTGTTTGGCTAAGACCTCGCTCGTTTTTCTCTTCGACTCCCCTTATGTTGTGACACAAAGTGATGCAAGTGGTTTTTGTCTGCCTATCATTTCTTTTCTTTCTCTGCCCTCAGATTTGATTTGGCACGCTCACGAGAGGTAGGCAGATTCTCTTTCTGCAGTTTCTAACTGTACGTATCACCCCTCCTCGTGCAACTTACTCCCTTCCTCGGTAGTGAAGATGATTGCTCAGTCGGCCCTCGCGCTACCATATTTTGTTTTAGCCGGGGGAGGGGTGGGGTTGGCGCACGGAGGTGGAAGAGGGGGAGGGGGGGCAGCAGGGGGAGGGGTGGGTGGTTCTGGAGGAGCAAAGCTGTCTGCTCTGCTTGCTGACCTGCCTGCCGTGACAGCGTGAGTTTGTGACTTGTGATGCAAGTCCCCCATCACTGAGGCATCTCAATAGCCCTCTCCCACAAAACAAAACCGTTTGAAATGCTAAGCCCTCGTTCCCTTCTCACCTCCTACCCTTCCTTCTTGCCTTGTACCCTTTCTTCTGCCCCTCCCTGTCTCTCTCCCATCCCCCTAGACCCATATACCTCGCTCATTGCACCAAGTCCCTCATTCCAACAGGTTCATCCTGCCTCTCCTACCTTTCCTTCCTCTCAATCTCTCCTTCCCTTCTGTCCCGTTCTTCCTCTTCCCACCCCTCTTTCTTCCCCTCAACAAATGGTATTTTTTAACTCCGTTGCTTCCCGCTTCCTCCCCCAAATCGTATTCCTCCTCCTCCGCTGCTTCCCGCTTCCTCCTCCTCCTCTTCCTCCTCCTCCTCCTCCTCCTCCTCCTCCTCCTCCTCCTCCTCCTCCTCCTCCTCCTCCTCCTCCTCCTCCTCCTCCTCCTGCTTATCTCCCCGCCAGCCCGCTTTCTACAGACGACGGGGAGAACAAGCTTGTTCAGAACCAGAAACCCGTATCCTCTCCACTCATAGCCTCCTTCTCCCATACCCCCTACCCTCTCATCCTGTCACTGGCCCTCTCCTCCCCTTCCCTCCCCCCCTCTCCCCTCACTCCCTTACCCCCAGCCGTTGTGCCACCTAGCCTCGTTCTCCCATCCCCCCTACCCTCTCATTCTGTCACCTGTCCACCTGAAGCTGGCCCCAGCTGTGTCTCCCCTCCTTACAGCTTCTCTGGTGCGTCCTATCATATAAATTCCCCAAGTGCCTTCTCGGGTGCGTCATATCGTAGAATTTCCCAAAGTGCCTTCTCTGGAATTCCTGGTCCAAGGTGGTTCGTATTTTAGATTCCTCAAAAGCACCCCGCAGGCGCGGGGGAAATTCCTGGAACTAGGAGGTCCTGGCGATATTTTCAATAGGCTCCTGAAAACCATATTATGCCTCTCTCTCTTCTTCCCTCGAATCCCTCTGATTTCTACCCACAGGCGTGTGGGGCCCTTGGTCGAAGCTGGTGCTCGTGCTCATGATGCCGCTCGGAGTTTTTCTCTCAGATGACTCGGAACAAAGTCATGTTTCTCTCTCCTTTCCACGTACCCCTTTTGCTCCCCACAGGCGTGTGGAGCCCTTGGTCCAAGCTGGTGCTCGTGCTCGTGATGCTGCTGGATGTTTTTTCTTCTGGTTGCACGTCAGTAATAGGTCATGTTTCCCTCTCTCCTTTCCCCGTACCCATTTTCTCCCCACCTTGCAGGTGTGTGGAGCCCTTGGTCCAAGCTGGTTCTCGTGCTGGTAATGCTGCTGGGCCGCCACAGAGGCCTGCCTGACAACATCGACGCTGCCATCTCCCTCCCCAACCGCAACCAGTTCATTCCTGAACCACCTGCACTGCCTGCCCCACCTTCTGCATCTGCTGTATCTGCCGTCCCTGTTGTCGCACCTTGCATGCGTTCCACGTGTGCACCAAGGTGACTGAAGAGTCGACTCACGAGTCGCTGCCATCCCCATCCCAGGCCTGCACCAGTTCCTCCCTCCCCCGGCCGTACCACCCTCGGCCGCACGTCCCCCTCCCACCCAGGTTGCTCCTCCCTGCCGCTCCTCCCCTAGTCGCCCCTCCCCTAGTCGCCCCTCCCCTAGTCGCCCCTCCCCTAGTCGCCCTCCCCTAGTCGCCCCTCCCCTAGTCGCCCCTCCCCTAGTCGCCCCTCCCCTAGTCGCCCCTCCCCTAGTCGCCCCTCCCCTAGTCCCCTCCCCTAGTCGCCCTCCCCTAGTCGCCCCTCCCCTAGTCGCCCCTCCCCTAGTCGCCCCTCCCCTAGTCGCCCCTCCCCTAGTCGCCCCTCCCCTAGTCGCCCCTCCCCTAGTCGCCCCTCCCCTAGTCGCCCCTCCCCTAGTCGCCCCTCCCCTAGTCGCCCCTCCCCTAGTCGCCCCTCCCCTAGTCGCCCCTCCCCTAGTCGCTCCCTCCCCTAGTCGCCCCTCCCCTAGTCACTCCTCCCCTAGTCAGCTCCTCCCCTAGTCGCCCCTCCCCGGCCGCTCCCCTCCCCCACCGCTACTCACCTCAGCCTCCCCCCCCTTCCCTCCCCCTCTCCCCCGCTCCACCAACCACTCCACCTTCCACATCTGCTGCATCTGCTCTGCGACCACGTGCTACCAACCAACGAAACGGTGTCTTGCTTCTGGAGGTGGAGAACGGACATAGAAAGTTCCTGCTTTGTTGCTCCAATCGCTTCACTCAGACTTGGGTTCTCCGACTGTCATGCTCCGAGGCGCTGCTTCTTTATCTTCAGTTTCCAATTTCCAATCTACATAATCGAACTAGCTGACTGCTGATTACTTTGGTTAGTCGCTGCTAGTAATCCAAATGCAAATACAGTATCAACACGTCTCACATATGATCGTACAATGCATGCAGAAAGAACCTCTAGTCCATCCGAGGGTGTGAACCGCTGTGCTTTGAGCTGACTCAAAATGTATCCATTGGTCATGTAGCACATGCGCCACCTCTAGTTTTCCCAGTCAATGGTTTATCATCGCGGCGCCACCCACATCGCCCTCACCACCTCACACAGCCCGTCAAACCTCTCCCCCCCCCCCCCCCCCCCCTCTCCGCCCCTCCTTGCCATGCGCTCATGAGGCATGCGCCCTCCCATCCCTCCCTCACTTCCTCTTATTCACTGATTCCAGCAGCAGTCGCCAGTCTCCCGGCCGCGCCAGCAAGCCATCGTCACAGCGCCACCCGTTCGCTCTCAGCGCCTCACACAACCCATCAACCCTCCCGCCATGCGGCCAAAGGAAGCATGCAGCATCTCTAGCTTCTCGAAAGAGGCTAACTCGGCTGCAGTTGCACTTGCACCCCTCATTTCCTCTTCTCCTCAGGTGCCAGCTGCAGCCACCAATCGCCCACCGGCCGGGCCACCATACGAAGCATGCAATACCTCTATCTGATTTCCCCAAGAATGCAAAGGCTGCTGCACTTGCACCCCTCACTTCCTCTTCTCCTCAGGTGCCAGCAGCAGCCACCAATCGCCTCCCTCATTTCGAAGTATTATAGCTTGGAAGATGGTTGACCGAGGCAGTTCAGAGGCGAGAGGTTTGTCCTCTTGTGGATTTTCAGCTTTTTCGTCCAATAGAATTCAAGTTAATCACATGCCATTTTTGTCCCCCTAATGTTCCTAAGAAGTTGCACCCTGCCTTTAAAGGCACAAGTGAGGGATTTTTGGGAGCTGGGGGTGCAATTTTCAGGTGGGGCAGTGCAAGTGAATCCAGCAGAGGCGAATTCGGCTTCACTTGCACCCCTCATTTCCTCTTCTCCTCAGGTGTCAGCAGCAGTCGCCAGTCTCCTGGCCGAGCCAACAAGCCATCGTCACAGCGCCACCCATTCGCTCTCAGCGCCTCACACAACCCATCAAACCCCGCAGCCATGCGGTCATACGAAGCATGCAGCACCTCTAGCTTCCCCAAGGAAGCGAATTCGGCTGCGCGGGCTTGGACGTGGGTGCGCGCTTGGGGTGCGAGAGAGTGGATGGTGGGGCAGAGGACGTGTGGAGAGAGGGTGCGGAGGTAGGCGGCTTGCAGGGCCGCTCTGAGGAAATCCCTTGGGAGTGCCCCCTCCTTCAACACTACCTGCATGGATGGTGGTTGCAGGGGTGAGAAGGCATGGGGATGAGAGGAGAAGGAATAGATGTGAGGGGAAGAGGAGAGCATGCAGCACCTTGATCTGCTTCCCCAAGGAGGAAAACTCGGCGGCGCGGGCTTGGACGTGGGTGCGCGCTTGGGGGGCGAGGGAATGAATGGTGGGGCAGAGGACGTGTGGAGATAGAGTGCGGAGGTAGGCGGCTTGCAGGGCCGCTCTGAGGAAGTCCCGAGGGAGTGCTCCTTCCTTCAACACTACCTGTATGGATGGTGGGTAGAAAGAGTGGATGGTGGGGCAGAGGACGTGTGGAGAGAGCGTGCGGAGGTAGGCGGCTTGTAGGGCCGCTCAGAGGAAGTCCTTTGGGAGGGCCCCCTCCTTCAACACTACGTGCAAGAAGAATGGTGAGTGGTTGATAGGGGTGAGAAGGCAAGAGGTGTGGAGAGAGAGTGCGGAGGTAGGCGCCTTGCAGGGCCGCTCGTAAGAAATCCCAAGGAAGAGCTCCTTCTTTCAACACAACCTGCATGGTGAGTGCGTGGGGTGAGGAGGAATGGCGGTGTAACGAGGAGATCATTTAGTGGCAGGTGGATTGGAGGGCAGCCCGGAGGAAATTCCGAGGGAAAGCTCCTTCTTTCAACACAACCTGCATGGTGAGTGCGTGGGGTGAGGAGGCATGGCGGTGTAACGAGGAGATCATTTAGTGGCAGGTGGATTGGAGGGCAGCCCGGAGGAAATCCCAAGGGAAAGCTCCTTCTTTCAACAGAACCTGGATGGTGAGTGCGTGGGGTGAGGAGGCATGGCGATGGAACGAGGAGATCAATCTAGCGGCAGGCAGGTGGATTGGAGGGCAGCCCGGAGGAAGTCCCGAGGGAGAGCTCCTTCTTTCAACAGAACCTGGATGGTGGGTGACAGATAGGGGTGGGTGGGAAAGCAAGAGGTGAGAATCTAGATGCAGACAGCTTGCAGTGGGCAGAAAGAGTGGATGGTGGGGCAGAGGGGGTGTGGGGCGAGCGTGCAGAGGTAGGCGGCTTGTAAGGCCGTTGTCACTCATGGTTGGAAGGGCAGCAGCACTAAGAGAAAGTGAGGCGCCTCAAAAAAAGTGGGGCAAGCGTGCAGAGGTAGGCGGCTTGTAAGGCCGCTCGGAGGAAGTCCCGAGGTAGAGCCTCCTCTTTCAACACAGCCTGGTGAGTGACAGGGGTGAGAATGCATGGAGGTAAGAGGAGAAGGAATGGATGTGAGAGGAAGAGGAGAGGTAGTCTGCTTGGAGCGCCGCACAGAGGAAGTCCCGAAGTAGATCCCTCTTCTAGCTCAACTTGCATGGTGCTCTTTCAAGAGAGGGATCTCTTTCGAGACTTCCTCCGTGCGGCGGCGTGACACCCCTAACACAACCTGCATGGTGAGTGTCAGGGGTGGAAGGGACGGGATTGAGACGAGGAGGCACACATGCGGAGGTGGCCGGATTTGTAAGGCCGCCCGGAGGAGGTCCCTAGACAGATCCCTCTTTCAACACAACCTGCAGGCCCCCACACATTCCCGTTTCTCCCACCCACCCACGCACACAGATGCACACAGCATGAACCTGCATCTGCCCTGTACGCTCGTCCTGTCAAAGGAGGTACTTCTCTCCTCAGCATATCCCATCCCAGCCACCGCCTCTGCCTCCTCCCACTGCACATCACAGCACAGCACACCTGTGTGCCTCACTCCCATCTCAAAACACAAGCATGCGCAGCAGCACACGCACCTGCATCTGCCCCGTACGCTCGTCCCTCCCAAGCAGGTACTTCTCTCCTCGGAATATATCAGCCATGGTCTCAGCCTCCCGCTCTGTGTGCGCCACTGCGGCCAAGGGCACCCCAAATTCGATCCAGTTCTCACTCCCTGTGCCGGGAAGGGGTGGAGGAGACGCCTGGGAAAGGGGACGCGGAGAAGGGGCGGGGGAGGGGAACGGGTGGAGAGGGGGGAATGAGGGGGTTGAGAGGTCTCTTTTTGCGCCACTGCTGCCAAGGGCACTCCGAACTCGATCCAGTTCTCACTGCCTGTGCCTGGACGAGGAGGGGGAGAGGCCTGGAAAGGGGAGGAGGGGAGGGGGTTCGGGTGGAATGGGAGTAAGGGAGTGTTGAGACGTCTGTCTGTGTGAGCCACTGCTGCCTACTTGCCAAGGGCACTCCGAACTCAATCCAGTTCTTGCTACCTGTGCCGGGGAGAGGTGGAGGGGACGCCTGTGAAGAGAGAAAGGGGAGAAGGAGGGATGAGATCTCTCTGTGTGAGTGAGGCACTGCAGCTAAGTGGCACTTGTAACGCACATGCAATGCACATGCACCATACATACATGCACCACACATACATCACACATGCACCACACCAGAGATACCTTGGGCGAAAATATCGATTTGAGGGGCGGCAGAATGGGTTCCTGGGAGTTGACTTCGATGACACCTGGCACCCTGCCATTGGTCACGTACTCTGCCAGGACAATATCTGGGGAAAGAACAGTGGTAGAAGAGAGCACAGGGGAAGCAGAGAGGACAGCGCAGCGGAGCAAGCTACTTAGACAGAAACAGGTGAAGGAGGGAACTAATTGAGTTGTGCTTACAGCGACCGTCGTGCCTTACAGCTCAAAGACACGACGGTCGCTGCTCTGGCGAATGTTTTTGGGGCGCCTCAAACTTTTTGAGATGATTTTTGAGGCGCCTAAAAAACAATTGTGGTTACAGCTCAAAGACATGACATGACAATAGCTGCTCTGGAAGTAACTATCTGCTTCTGAATCCACTGGATTGAATGCTTGTGAGGCTTCCTGCAAGCAAGTACTTATTTTACCTGCTCTGAAGGGGTTGAGCGTCCTGAGTTGAACGGCCTTGTACGAGCGGTAGTTGCAAAACAGGTGGGCGGCGGACAGCAGGCCATGAGTTGCCCACAGTAGAGGGCCCCGGGTGCCCACGTGAGGAGCAACGACGATGCCTAGTGCCATCCCCAATGTCTTGCTCACCATGCCCTGTGCCTCTGCACGTGCTAGCACCTGAGGGGAGAGGAAGAGGAGGAACAGTCAGAGAAAACACACAAATGGTTGGGTTCGGACAGCAGGGCGTGTGTTGCCCAGAGTAGAGGACCCCTCGTGCCCACGTGAGGAGCAATGGCGATACCCAGGGCCATGCCCAATGTCTTGCTCACCATGCCCTGTGCCTCTGCGCGTGCTAGCACCTGTGGGGAGAGGAAGGGGAGGAGCAGAAAGTGAAGTACAATCACATGGGTGGGCCGGACAGCAGGGCATGCGTGGATCAGCCACAGCAGAGGACCCCTGGTGCCTACGTGAGGAGCAATGGCGATGCCTAGAGCCATCCCCAATGTCTTGCTCACCATGCCTTGTGCCTCTGCCCGCGCCAAGACCTGGGGGGAGATGAAAAGGAGGAACAGTCAGAGAAAGCACACGAAAGGTTCGGTTCGGACAGCACGGCATGCGTCGCACACAGCAGAGGGCCCCGGGTGCCCACGTGTGGAGCGATGGCGATACCCAGGGCCATGCCCAATGTCTTGCTCACCATGCCCTGTGCCTCTGCACGTGCTAGCACCTGTGGGAGAGGAAGGCAGGGTGGAGTGGAAGGGAGAACACGGGGAGCGTAATGTAATGAGAGGAGCACAGCACCGGGCCTATCGTGCCCATGTGTGGGGCGATGGCGAGGCCTCATGCCATGCCATCCTAATGTCTTGCTCAATGCTCACAATACCCTGTGCGGCTGAGCCTCTGCGCATACCAACACTCGGGGTGGTAGGGTTGGTTAAGAAGGGGGATGAAAGGCTGACGAGTTAAGACATGTGACTCGTGAACCTGAAAACCATAAGAGCCGCTTCCTTCCAGTCCCAGCACAAGCCTGTATAAGCACCGATATAAATGCTAGGCTTTTTTAAAAGCTTTCTGCAATTGGAACCCATCCAACCCCAGCCAGGATTATAAGTCCAAGGAGGGAGGATATCCCCCCTCCTGGCCCATGTGTGGGGCGATGGCGAGGCCGCCTCATGCCATCCCAATTATCTTGCCCTGTCTTTGAGGCGTCTCAAAAGTAATGACGCCTACTGCCATCTCCAATGTCTTGCTCGATGCTCACCATGCCCTGTGCGGCTGTGCTTCTGCGCACACACACCAACACTCGGGGTGGTTGGGTTGGGGAAGAAGAAGGGGGATGAAAGGCTGACGAGTTAAGACATGTGACTCGTGAACCTGAAAACCAAAAGAGCCGCTTACTTCCATTCCCAGCACACGCCTATAAAAGCACCGATATAAATGTTAGGCCTTTTTTTAAGGCTTTCTGCAATTTGAACCCATACAACCCCAGCCAGGATTATAGAAGGTAAGGAAGTCCAAGGAGGGAGCATATCCCCCCTACTGGCCCCATTGGCTCCCGAGACGGCGTTGAATCTCACCTCGGTGCGGTACAAGAGAGGAGGAAGAGGAAGAGAAATTATAATACCGAAGAGCAAACAAGGGGTACTATAACGCAGAGCGTGGACAATAAAGAGAGTGACAATAGCGAGAGGGGAGATGAAACCCCCCCATGACCCCCCCCAAGGCCCCCCTACCCCCCAATCCTCCTCACAGCCCCCCACCCCGCCCCCCAAAATCCCTGGCATGGGCATGGTCCCCCCTATCCCTGGCATGGGCATGGTCCCCCCTATCCCTGGCATGGGCATGGTCCCCCCTATCCCTGGCATGGGCATGGTCCCCCCCCCCTATCCCTACAGGAAAAAGGCAGCAGCAACAGTAACCGGCCAGCAGCAACAGTAACCGGGTGGATGCAACAGTAACCGGGCGGCGAGCAGGCGGCAGCAACAGTGTGCTGGGCGGCAGCAATAGTGCCTGGGCGGCAGCAATAGTGCCTGGGCGGCAGCAACAGTGCCTGGGCGGCGGCAGAAACAGTGCCTGGGCGGCGGCAGCAACAGCTGCACCAGCTGATTGAGCCCCCATTCGGCCAGTAGGGTCGGACAGAGGGGGCCGGGAGTGGGAAGGAGTAGGTGTGATAGGTAGAACTGTGGTCTGGTTGTTTGTCTTACTTGTGTTTGCACCTTCCTTGTAACACCCACCGTGATTAATGCAAGGACCGTTCGAGGGGGAAGGGATGCAACATGTTGAACTGGGAGGGCGTGACCTCGGCTGCATAGCCCAGCCCGTCCTTTACCACGAAGGACCGTTTGAGAGAAGAGAGAGAAGGAAGGGCTTCAGGTGAGGAAAAGGACGGAGAGAGGAGGGCAGGGGAGATGAAGGTTCTTAGACATAGCAAACAGACCTCAATTGAAGGAGCCTGCGACATAGAAACGCCTCTCACCTGCGTTGTAAGCACGTGGTTCATTTCGCTCGCCACTGTTTGCCGCATGCGCCACACTGTATACTCCATATAGTCAGGAGTCACACTATCGGGATAACCCTCTGGTAACATCCATCGAACCACCGCCGCTTTCACTCCCCTCACCACCCGCGCAACCATATCCACCCCTCTGCTCCGCTCATCCTCCTCCCCCGCTAAAACCCTACCCCCTGCGGCCTTCCCGTTGCCATTCCCCGTGCTTGTAACGATCCCCTTTACAACGCGTCCGTGTTCCTCCTCGTACGCGTTAGCAGCTTCCTCGCCTTCCAATTCAACTTCCACCCTTAGCTGGCCCTTCCCCCTATTGCTGCTTGCACTGCTGCTGCTGTTGAGGCCAATGACCAACGAGGAGTGATACTAACGAGAGGCGAGGAGAAACCCCCCCACGGCCCCCCCCAAGGCCCCCCCAAGGCCTGGTCCTGGTCCTGGTCCTGGTCCTGGTCCTGGTCCTGGCCCTGGTCCTGGTCCTGGTCCTGGTCCTGGTCCTGGTCCTGGTCCTGGTCCTGGTCCTGGTCCTGGTCCTGGTCCTGGTCCTGGTCCTGGTCCTGGTCCTGGTCCTGGTCCTGGTCCTGGTCCTGGTCCTGGTCCTGGTCCTGGTCCTGGTCCCGGTCCTGTTCCAGGTCCTGTTCCTGTTGTCAGAAGGCGGCTGGAACAGTAACGAGACAGCAGGAACAGTAGCCGGGCGGCAGTAACAGTAACAAGGTGGCCGTAGCAGTAACTGGGCGGCTGGAACAGTCATCCCCGTCTCTGTGCTTCTGTTTCTGTATCTTGCAATCTGTCTCCGTTTGTTTCAGTAGTTTCTGTTCTCCCCTCTCACTGCTTCTGTTTCTGTTTCTGTGCTTCTGTTAACCCCTGTCACTCTTCTTCTGTTTCTGTTTGTCCTGCGTTTCTGCCTCTGTTTCTCAGTCGCTGATCACAGGTGTGGCCTTGTGTCTCTCTCTGTGTGTCTCTGTCTCTAGTTGTCTCCATGCTCCCCATCCCATCCCTGGGCCAAGCCCACACCGACCCGACCTGGCCACGACAGGGCCATCCCGGCTCATATAGTGAACAAGAACAAGCACACGCACTTTTCAAACCCTTAACTGTACTAATTTAGAATCCTATTTCTTCATTATGTCTTCAAAAAAGGCGCCCCGCACGAGAGAATGCCACCTGCACAGGTGGGGTGCGGTGGGGTGGGGTGGGGAGGAGGGACGGATGGCGGGATGGCCGGTGCGAGGGGATGGCGTGTGGCGGGTTCTGAAATTGTGGCAGAGGTGGCAAGTGGTGGGGAGGAGAGGAGGTGAACAGAGGGGAGGAGAGGAGGTGAACAGAGGGGAGGAGAGGAGGTGAACAGAGGGGAGGAGAGGAGGTGAACAGAGGGGAGGAGAGGAGGTGAACAGAGGGGAGGAGAGGAGGTGAACAGAGGGGAGGAGAGGAGGTGAACAGAGGGGAGGAGAGGAGGTGAACAGAGGAACAGAGAGGCGGTGAACAGAGGGGAGGATAGGAGGTGAACAGAGGGGAGGAGAGGAGGTGAACAGAGGGGAGGATAGGAGGTGAACAGAGGGGAGGAGAGGAGTTGAACAGACCACGGGAGGAGAGGAGGTGAAGAGAGGGGAGGAGAGGAGGTGAAGAGAGGGGAGGAGAGGAGTTGAACAGAGGGGAGGAGAGGAGGTGAACAGAGGAGAGGAGAGGTTTTAGCATAGGGGTTGGCGGGATGGCAAGTGTGGTGTGAGTGAGGGACTGGCGGGATGGCACGCATGTGTTGTGAGGAGTGCAGAGCAAGGGAGGGAACGACGAGTGCAGAGCAAGGGAGGGAACGACGAGTGCAGAGCAAGGGAGGGAACGACGAGTGCAGAGCAAGGGAGGGAACGACGAGTGCAGAGCAAGGGAGGGAACGACGAGTGCAGAGCAAGGAGGGAACGACGAGTGCAGAGCAAGGGAGGGAACGACGAGTGCAGAGGTGCGGGAAGGTGAATAGAGGGGAGCAGTGGGGGGAGGTGAATACAAGGGATAAGTGGGGGATGGTGCGCGTGGGGAGCGGAGGGTGAATAGTAAGGGATGGGGAAACCGTGGGGTGAACAGTGGGGGATGGGGAGGAAGGGCGGAATGAGGAGAAAGGGCGCAACGAGGAGAAAGGGCGCAACGAGGAGAAAGGGCGGAATGAGGAGAAAGGGCGGAACGAGGAGAAAGGGCGGAATGAGGAGAAAGGGCGGAACGAGGAGAAAGGGCGGAACGAGGAGAAAGGGCGGAACGAGGAGAAAGGGCGGAACGAGGAGAAAGGGCGGAACGAGGAGAAAGGGCGGAACGAGGAGAAAGGGCGGAACGAGGAGAAAGGGCGGAACGAGGAGAAAGGGCGGAACGTGGAGAAAGGGCGGAACGAGGAGAAAGGGCGGAACGAGGAGAAAGGGCGGAACGTGGAGAAAGGACGGAACGAGGAGAAAGGGCGGAACGAGGAGAAAGGGCGGAACGAGGAGAAAGGGCGGGACGAGGAGAAAGGGCGGAACGAGGAGAAAGGGCGGAACGAGGAGAAAGGGCGGAACGAGGAGAAAGGGCGAAACGAGGAGAAAGGGCGGAACGAGGAGAAAGGGCGGAACGAGGAAGCAATCTTCTCACCCTTATCCAAGTTCCCTAGCATGACGGAGTGGAGGCGCGGGAAGGGGAGGGGATTAGGTTGACCGCGGCGGGAAACGGCAGCGCTCGGTTCTCTCCCGCCATCCGCGAGTACTGCTCCTGTACTGTACCCACTTTAGATCCGCTTCAGTCTGCTCCATCCGCGCTGTCTACTCCTGTACCTGCGGGGGCAAATGAACAAGCAGATTCACATGAATACGCACACGTGGAACGAGTACACTTGTGTATGTACATTCACACGACCACGCACGCATGCTACCCTTTGGCAGCTGCAGCAGCTCATCTTTCAGTCGTCTCACTCACTTGCCCAGCCACCTCTGCTTGAAAAAACTCTTACCTGCCCGCCCACCTCTTCTTCAAGCTCTCACCTGCGCGGCCACCCCTGCTTCAAACTCTCACCTGCCCGGCAATCTCTACCCCAAAATTCGGTGGGAAACCGCGGGAAGGAAAACCTTGGGAAACCAACCATGGGAAAGAGCGGGAAACGGCGGGAAAAGGCAGGAAAGGGCGGGATTCAGCGCGGAAAGGGCACTAAGCCGTGCCTGGGGCGCGGAAAAAAAACAACTTGCCAAGCCTGCAGCGCGGAAAGGGCACTTGGCCGTGCCTGGGGCGCGGAAAAAAAAACAACTTGCCAAGCCTGCAGCGCGGAAAGGGCACTAAGCCGTGCCTGGGGCGCGGAAAAAAAAAACAACTTGCCAAGCCTGCAGTGCGGAAAGGGCACTTCGCCGCGCCTGCAGCGCGGAAAAGGGCAAGTCGCCGCGCCTGCAGCGCGGAAAGGCACTTGGCCGCGCCTCTCACCAGGCAGTGCCGAGCCTCTCACCAGGCAGTGCCGAGCCTCTCACCAGGCAGTGCCGAGCCTCTCACCAGGCAGTGCCGAGCCTCTCACCAGGCAGTGCCGAGCCTCTCACCAGGCAGTGCCGAGCCTCTCATGGCGCGCGATCCGCCGCCTGGTGATGCTCGCGTGCTGGTGGGAGAGGTAGGTGAGTGCGTTTCCTTCGTCATAGGAACATTTGCCGTCAGATCAGTGCACAACTCGTGTCGCGTCGCTGTCAGAGATAAAACAAAGAAAGAAGAACATATTTACAAAAATAATTGAACAATTTGACGCAAACCTGAATACAAAAGGAGGCAGTGAAGCAGGCGCCTGGTGAGAGTGTTGAGCGAGAAACGGCGAAAAAAGGCACGAGGCAGAAAATGGAGAGGAGAGGAAGGGCCGGGGAAGAGGGAAACTTTAGCTAGAAATATAATCTCACGTTAATATAACTATAAAACGCAACTAAAAAACAGGAGCTTCTGCTGGAACGCGGATTAACTCTCACAGGGGCCTAAGCTGCTGCGCCCACCATTCCGTCAGCTGCTTCCGCGGCGCGACATCGGCCATCTGCTGCCGCGGCGCGACATTCCGCCATCTGCTGCGCGCGCCAATTCGCCTGCTGCTGCGCGCGCCATTCCCCCTGCTGTGGCGCGCGCCATCCCCCCTGCTGCTGAACGATCTATGACTAGGAGAACAAATAAAAAGAAAACTAAGAGAATGCTACTAAGAGCATTAAGAGAATGCTACTACTAGTGAGACCATCCAGTGAGAGGGACGCTGGGAGAAGAAGAGCAGTCGAGAGAAAGAGGAGTCAAGGAGGAGGTAACAATGGGAGAGTTGAAGGACTCGCGTGCTGGTGGGAGAGGTAGGTGAGTGCTTTTCCTTCACCAGATCAGCACCACTCGTGTCGCGTCGCTGTCAAAGAGAAAACAAATAAAAAAGAACATCAGCACCACTCGTGTCGCGACCGTTCGACGGTGAGGTCCGACCGAGCCACCTCGCGCGCACGCGCGTTCGCTCTGCGCAGCGACCCGTGTGACATGACATAGCATGCTGCAAACTAAACTGACATCAAACGCGATATTCGCAAATGAGAAAAAGCGCGGGACGGCTAAAGGAGAGCGCTGCGCAGGGTGCAGCGCGAGGCGAGCAGGACGACGACTATCTAACGACCGCGAGGCGCACGAACAAACACGCGACTGGGACCTTAGCGAATGACACAGCAGCGGATTAGGTGGCTGTGACTGTAATTCTAGCTGAATAGTCGGTACGAGGGAATAAGGTTCGAGTAGACCTGATTTGGTTTGGGCTGAGGCAGCAGCGGGATGGATAGACGGGTAGCTAGCCAACCCCTCCCACACAATGTTGTGTAACATTTCGGGCAGTAGAAATAAAAGTAGAAGCATCTCGTAACTAAAATGGAAAAATCAGACCACTCCTACTACTACAGTGAAGTCGTTTCGATTTTACTGTTGAATGGAAGGGTTCCAACTCGGACCTGAACACCCACCTCCTCAACCCAAAAAACAGCCCCCAATGGGGTTTCTAAGCCTGGTCCGCAACAGGTCGCGGTGGAACAGGTCAAGAAACTCAAAGACAGCCCCCAATGGGGTTTCAGAGCCTGCTCCAGCGCACACGTCGCGGTGGAACAGGTCAAGAATGATACTATAACAGTGAGGTTCCAATTTACAGCGCGGTTCGGACGAATCTTGATTTGCAAAGTGTATATATTGCTGTTGCTAACCAACTAGCATCAACTATGATTGCGTTTCAAATGTGAATTGTTCAATAAACATGCGAGAAGATAAACACATGACACACATAATGGCATTACAAGTTGCGTAAGCATAAATCACAATCAAATATGTGTAATATTGGTACGTTATTTTTATTTCCTGCTTTCATGCCTAATTCATACTTCTCTTGATGTAATGCAAGCATGATTGCTAGTGCTCGTACTCTTAATGCCTGTAAACTATCTACTTCAACGTCAATGCGTTGGGGTGGCTTTGAGCGGTGCCGAGTGTTGCCGAGAGGTTTAGAGTGGTAGTGAGCGGTGCTGATACGTCCGATGCGGTCGTTGATGGTGCTGAACGCTCTTGGGTGGTGACGAGTGGTGATGAGTAGCTCAGAGAGGTGTCGGGTGGTGATGAGCGGCTCCGAGCGGTGCCGAATGCTGCAGAGCGGTACAGAGCGGCAGTGAGCGGTGCTGGGTTGTTGTGTGCAGTGATTGGTGGTGTTGAGCACTTGTGAGTGGTGATGAGCGGTGAAGGACAGTGACGAGCCGCTCAAAGAGGTGCCGAGTGGTGATGAGCGGATCTGAGCAGTGCCGAGTTCTGCAGCGCGGTTCAGAACGGCAGTGAGAGGTGTTGGGCCTTTGTGTGCGGTCATTGGTGGTGGTGAGTGCCCGTGAGTGGTGATGAGTGGCTCAGAGAGGTGTCGAGTGGTGATGAGCGGCCCTGAGCGGTGCCGAGTGCTGCAGTGCGGTTCAGAGCAGCAGTGAGAGGTGTTGGGCCTTTGTGAGCAGTCATTAGTGATGCCGAGCGCCCGTGAGTGGTGACACCAACAGCAGCAGTAGGAAACACAAGCACAAGCAGCAAACGGTAGTTGTGAGCATCTGCATCACCATCGAGCGGCAACAGAATATGCTCAGCAGCAGTAGGAAACACCAGCATGAGCACAAGCAGCAAACGGTAGTAGTGAGCATCCGCTTCACCATCGAGCAGCAACAGAAAGTGCTCAGCAACAGTAGGAAACACCAGCACAAGCACAAAGCAGCGAATGGTAGTAGTGAGCATGCGCCTCACCATCAAGCAGCAACAAAAAATATTCGGCAGCAGTAGGAATGACCAGCACGAGCACAAGCAGCGAAAGGTAGTAGTGGGCATTGGCCTCACCATCGAGCAGCAACAGGAAAATATTCGGCAGCAGTAGGAAACACCAGCACGAGGACTAGCGCGAACGGTAGTATTGAGCATCCGTCTCACCATCGAGCAGCAACAGAAAATATTCGGCAGCAGTAGGAAACACCAGCATGAGGACTAGCGCGAACGGTACTATTGAGCATCCGTCTCACCATCGAGCAGCAACAGAAAATATTCGGCAGCAATAGGAAACACCAGCACGTGCACAAGCAGCGAACGGTAGTAGTGAGCATCCGCCTCACCATCGAGCAGCAACAGAAAATATTTGACGGCAGTAGGAAACACCAGCACGGGCACAAGCAGGAACGGTAGTAGTGACCATCCGTCTCGCCATCGAGCAGCAACAGAAAGTATTCGGCAGCAGTAGGAAACACCAGTTAAGAACAGTTTCACCGTTCTCAACCGAGAGAACATATTAGGGTTAACCAACCAAGGCTGCAAGGAAACGCGCCCCGAACTGACCCAGCTTCACCACAACACTTCCGCCAAAGCACCCGCTCGCATCACCTTCATTGCGCCACCTAGTACCACCCCTCGCCAGCCCGTCGTAGTAGCAGTAGTAGCACCAGCAAATTCGTACTGTAGGGTGTATGTATTTCGCACCAGTCTTCTTTGCTACTCTGCAAAGCCGCTCGGTGTTTGGCTAAACAAGTTTTGTTTTGCCACTCTCATTGCCTTTTAAGAGAAATTACGCTCAAAAACTGCGTGACTTTTAGATATCTGTTTAATCCGTTCCCCTCGCGCTTACGTCAGGTCAACAAAGCAGATTCGTGAATCGGGACCTCACCCACCCACCCGCACACCAGCACGAGCACAAGCAACGAACGGTAGTAGTGAGCATTCGCGTCACGATCGAGCAGCAACGGGAGGAGAAGGAGGACGACGAGGACCAGGACGAGGAGCAGGAGCAGGAGGAGGAGGAGAAGGAGGAGGACGAGGAGGAGGAGGAGGAGGAGGAGGAGGAGGAGGAGGAGGAGGAGGAGGAGGAGGAGGAGGAGGAGGAGGAGGAGGAGGAGGAGGAGGAGGAGGAGGGGGACGACGACGACGACGACGAGAAGGAAGACGACGACGATGAGGAGGAAGACGACGAAGAAAAGGAGGGCGAGGAGTAGGAGTAGGAGGAGGAAGACGAGAAAGAGAAGGAGGAGGAGCAGGAGGAAGACGAGGAGTAGGAGGACGACGACAAGGAGGTTCACAACGAGGAGGAGGAAGACGAGGAGGAAGAGAACGAGCAGGAGCATGAGGAGGCGGAGGAGGAGGAGGAGGAGGAGGAGGAGGAGGAGGAGGAGGAGGAGGAGGAGGAGGAGGAGGAGGAGGAGGAGGAGGAGGAGGAGGAGGAGGAGGAGGAGGACGAGGACGAGGACGAGGAGGAGGAGGAGGAGGAGGAGGAGGAGGAGGAGGAGGAGGAGGAGGAGGAGGAGGAGGAGGAGGAGGAGGAGGAGGAGGAGGAGGAGGAAAAGGAGGAGGAGGAGGAGGAGGAGGAGGAGGAGGAGGAGGAGGAGGAGGAGGAGGAGGAGGAGGAGGAGGAGGAGGAGGAGGAGGAGGACACCAGCATGAGCACAAGCAGCGGACAGTAGTAGTGAGCATTTGCCTCACCATCGAGCAAAACCGGAAAATGTACAGCGGAAGTAGAAAACAGCAGCACGAGCACAAGCAACGAACGGTAGTTGTCAGCATCCTCCTCACCATAGTGCAGCAACCAAAAATATTCTGCAGCGGTAGGAAACATTAGCACGAGCACAAGCAGCGAACGTAGTAGTGAGCATCCGCCTCACCATCGAGCACCAACATAAAATATTCAACAGCAGTAGGAAACTCCAGCACGAGCACAAGCAGCGAACGGTAGATGTGAGCATCCGCCTCACCATCGAGCAGCAACAGAAAACATCCAGCAGCGGTAGGAAACACCAGCACGAGCACAAGCAACGAACGGTAGTTGTCAGCATCCGCCTCACCATCGAGCAGCGACGAAAATTATTCAGGAGCAGTAGGAAACACCAGCACGAGCACAAGCAGCGAACGGTAGTAGTGAGCATCCGCCTCACCATCAAGGAGCAACGGAAAATGTTCAACAACAGTAGGACACCAGCACGAGCACAAGCAACGAACGGTAGTAGTGAGCATTCGCCTCACGATTGAGCAGCAACGGGAGGAGAAGGAGGACGACGACGACGAGGACCAGGACGAGGAGCAGGAGCAGGAGGAGGTGGAGAAGGAGGAGGAGGAGGAGGAGGAGGAGGAGGAGGAGGAGGAGGAGGAGGAGGAGGAGGAGGAGGAGGAGGAGGAGGAGGAGGAGGAGGAGGAGGATGACGACGACGACGACGACGACGAGAAGGAGGACGACGACGATGCGGAGGAAGACGACGGGGAGGAAGAGGGCGAGGAGTAGGAGTAGGAGGAGGAAGACGAGAAGGAGGACGAAGAGGAGCAGGAGGAACACGAGGAGTAGGAGGACGACGAGGAGGAGGTTGCCAACGAGGAGGAGGAAGACGAGGAGGAAGAGGACAAGGGGTAGGGCAACAACGAGGAGGAGGAGGACGTCGAGCAGGTGAACGGGGAGGAGGAGGACGACGACATGGACAAGGACGAGGAGCAGGAGGAGGAGCAGGAGTAGGAGGAGGATGAGGAGGAGGAGGAGGAGGAGGAGGAGGAGGAGGAGGAGGAGGAGGAGGAGGAGGAGGAGGAGGAGGAGGAGGAGGAGGAGGTGGTGGAGAAGGAGGAGGAGGAGGAGGAGGAGGAGGAGGAGCAGGAGGAGCAAGAGGAGGAGGAGGAGGAGGAGGAGGAGGAGGAGGAGGAGGAGGAGGAGGAGGAGGAGGAGGAGGAGGAGGAGAACGAGGAGGAGAATTTCAAGGAGGAGCAGGACGAGGAGGAGAAGGAAGGGGACGAGGAGGAGCAAGACGAGGAGGAAGAGGACGAGGAGAACGATGAGGAGTAGGAGGAGGATGAGGAGGACGAGGAGTGGGAGGACGACGAGACGGAGAACGATGAGGAGGAAGAGGACGAGGGGAGGGAGCTCGACGAGGATGATGAGCACGAGGAGGAAGAGGAGGAGGAGGAGGAGGAGGAGGAGGAGGAGGAGGAGGAGGAGGAGGAGGAGGAGGAGGAGGAGGAGGAGGAGGAGGAGGAGGAGGAGGAGGAGGAGGAGGAAACACCAGCATGAGCACAAGCAGCAAACAGTAGTACTGAGCATCCGCCTCACAATCGAGCAGGAACATAAAATACTCAGCAGCAGTAGGAAACACCATCACGAGCACAAGCAGCGGAATGTAGTAGTGAGCATTTGCCTCACCATCGAGCAGCAACAGAAAATATTCAGCAGTAGTACGAAACACCAGCACGAGCACAAGCAGCGGACAGTAGTAGTGAGCATTTGCCTCACCATAGAGCAGAAACGGAAAATGTACAGCGGAAGTAGAAAACACCAGCACGAGCACAAGCAGCGAACGGTAGTTGTCAGCATCCTCCTCACCATCCTCCTCGCTTGCCACGTTGACCAGCCCGAGGTCACTGTTGGCGGCACCCTTTGACTGTAATGATTACACAGAGCTGGATGACAGATGGATGTCGGATGGATGTCAGGTCACTTGGGACACAATGCCGGCCTTAAAAATCTCACCTACCACCCTGACATCCGTCGACATCCATCGACATCCGTCTACATGTCACTTTGGACACTCCCTTAGGTGCAATTGTGTTGTCAAACCAATCAAGCGTTTGCAGCTAAAAAAACGCCGAGGCTAGGATACTGTACGGGGCGGCAAATCGGAGTTTTGGGCTGCTTTGCATGTCGTTCGTTCTTTGGGTGTGCAACAAGCGAGCGAATTGGCTCGCTCAAGACGGGTAGGACAGAATCAGACGTGGCAAATATATCTCTCCTCACCCTCAACTCACCTTGCGCAAAACGACTGTTAGTCAGTGGAATTTTGTCGGGGAAAACTTGCTCATCTATTCTTCCCACCGTCTTCGCAGTGTTCTTTTGGTGTTTGGCTAAGACCTCGCTCGTTTTTCTCTTCGACTCCCCTTATGTTGTGACACAAAGTGATGCAAGTGGTTTTTGTCTGCCTATCATTTCTTTTCTTTCTCTGCCCTCAGATTTGATTTGGCACGCTCACGAGAGGTAGGCAGATTCTCTTTCTGCAGTTTCTAACTGTACGTATCACCCCTCCTCGTGCAACTTACTCCCTTCCTCGGTAGTGAAGATGATTGCTCAGTCGGCCCTCGCGCTACCATATTTTGTTTTAGCCGGGGGAGGGGTGGGGTTGGCGCACGGAGGTGGAAGAGGGGGAGGGGGGGCAGCAGGGGGAGGGGTGGGTGGTTCTGGAGGAGCAAAGCTGTCTGCTCTGCTTGCTGACCTGCCTGCCGTGACAGCGTGAGTTTGTGACTTGTGATGCAAGTCCCCCATCACTGAGGCATCTCAATAGCCCTCTCCCACAAAACAAAACCGTTTGAAATGCTAAGCCCTCGTTCCCTTCTCACCTCCTACCCTTCCTTCTTGCCTTGTACCCTTTCTTCTGCCCCTCCCTGTCTCTCTCCCATCCCCCTAGACCCATATACCTCGCTCATTGCACCAAGTCCCTCATTCCAACAGGTTCATCCTGCCTCTCCTACCTTTCCTTCCTCTCAATCTCTCCTTCCCTTCTGTCCCGTTCTTCCTCTTCCCACCCCTCTTTCTTCCCCTCAACAAATGGTATTTTTTAACTCCGTTGCTTCCCGCTTCCTCCCCCAAATCGTATTCCTCCTCCTCCGCTGCTTCCCGCTTCCTCCTCCTCCTCTTCCTCCTCCTCCTCCTCCTCCTCCTCCTCCTCCTCCTCCTCCTCCTCCTCCTCCTCCTCCTCCTCCTCCTGCTTATCTCCCCGCCAGCCCGCTTTCTACAGACGACGGGGAGAACAAGCTTGTTCAGAACCAGAAACCCGTATCCTCTCCACTCATAGCCTCCTTCTCCCATACCCCCTACCCTCTCATCCTGTCACTGGCCCTCTCCTCCCCTTCCCTCCCCCCCCTCTCCCCTCACTCCCTTACCCCCAGCCGTTGTGCCACCTAGCCTCGTTCTCCCATCCCCCCTACCCTCTCATTCTGTCACCTGTCCACCTGAAGCTGGCCCCAGCTGTGTCTCCCCTCCTTACAGCTTCTCTGGTGCGTCCTATCATATAAATTCCCCAAGTGCCTTCTCGGGTGCGTCATATCGTAGAATTTCCCAAAGTGCCTTCTCTGGAATTCCTGGTCCAAGGTGGTTCGTATTTTAGATTCCTCAAAAGCACCCCGCAGGCGCGGGGGAAATTCCTGGAACTAGGAGGTCCTGGCGATATTTTCAATAGGCTCCTGAAAACCATATTATGCCTCTCTCTCTTCTTCCCTCGAATCCCTCTGATTTCTACCCACAGGCGTGTGGGGCCCTTGGTCGAAGCTGGTGCTCGTGCTCATGATGCCGCTCGGAGTTTTTCTCTCAGATGACTCGGAACAAAGTCATGTTTCTCTCTCCTTTCCACGTACCCCTTTTGCTCCCCACAGGCGTGTGGAGCCCTTGGTCCAAGCTGGTGCTCGTGCTCGTGATGCTGCTGGATGTTTTTTCTTCTGGTTGCACGTCAGTAATAGGTCATGTTTCCCTCTCTCCTTTCCCCGTACCCATTTTCTCCCCACCTTGCAGGTGTGTGGAGCCCTTGGTCCAAGCTGGTTCTCGTGCTGGTAATGCTGCTGGGCCGCCACAGAGGCCTGCCTGACAACATCGACGCTGCCATCTCCCTCCCCAACCGCAACCAGTTCATTCCTGAACCACCTGCACTGCCTGCCCCACCTTCTGCATCTGCTGTATCTGCCGTCCCTGTTGTCGCACCTTGCATGCGTTCCACGTGTGCACCAAGGTGACTGAAGAGTCGACTCACGAGTCGCTGCCATCCCCATCCCAGGCCTGCACCAGTTCCTCCCTCCCCCGGCCGTACCACCCTCGGCCGCACGTCCCCCTCCCACCCAGGTTGCTCCTCCCTGCCGCTCCTCCCCTAGTCGCCCCTCCCCTAGTCGCCCCTCCCCTAGTCGCCCCTCCCCTAGTCGCCCTCCCCTAGTCGCCCCTCCCCTAGTCGCCCCTCCCCTAGTCGCCCCTCCCCTAGTCGCCCCTCCCCTAGTCGCCCCTCCCCTAGTCGCCCCTCCCCTAGTCGCCCCTCCCCTAGTCGCCCCTCCCCTAGTCGCCCCTCCCCTAGTCGCCCCTCCCCTAGTCGCCCCTCCCCTAGTCGCCCCTCCCCTAGTCGCCCCTCCCCTAGTCGCCCCTCCCCTAGTCGCCCCTCCCCTAGTCGCCCCTCCCCTAGTCGCCCCTCCCCTAGTCGCCCCTCCCCTAGTCGCCCCTCCCCTAGTCGCCCCTCCCCTAGTCACTCCTCCCCTAGTCGCCCCTCCCCTAGTCACTCCTCCCCTAGTCGCCCCTCCCCCGGCCGCTCCCCTCCCCCACCGCTACTCACCTCAGCCTCCCCCCCCTTCCCTCCCCCTCTCCCCCGCTCCACCAACCACTCCACCTTCCACATCTGCTGCATCTGCTCTGCGACCACGTGCTACCAACCAACGAAACGGTGTCTTGCTTCTGGAGGTGGAGAACGGACATAGAAAGTTCCTGCTTTGTTGCTCCAATCGCTTCACTCAGACTTGGGTTCTCCGACTGTCATGCTCCGAGGCGCTGCTTCTTTATCTTCAGTTTCCAATTTCCAATCTACATAATCGAACTAGCTGACTGCTGATTACTTTGGTTAGTCGCTGCTAGTAATCCAAATGCAAATACAGTATCAACACGTCTCACATATGATCGTACAATGCATGCAGAAAGAACCTCTAGTCCATCCGAGGGTGTGAACCGCTGTGCTTTGAGCTGACTCAAAATGTATCCATTGGTCATGTAGCACATGCGCCACCTCTAGTTTCCCAGTCAATGGTTCATCATCGCGGCGCCACCCACTCGCCCTCACCACCTCACACAGCCCGTCAAACCTCTCCCCCCCCCCCCCCCCCCCCCCCCCCCCCCCCCCCCCCCCCCCCCCCCCCTCCCCACCCCCCCCCCCCCCACCTCCCCCCCCACGCCCCCCCCCCCCCCCCCCCCCCACCCCCACCCCCCCCCCCCCCCCCACCCCCCCCCCCCCCCCCCCCCTCACCCCCCCCCCCCCCCCCCCCCCCCTCTCCGCCCCTTCCTTGCCATGCGCTCATGAGGCATGCGCCCTCCCATCCCTCCCTCACTTCCTCTTATTCACTGATTCCAGCAGCAGTCGCCAGTCTCCCGGCCGCGCCAGCAAGCCATCGTCACAGCGCCACCCGTTCGCTCTCAGCGCCTCACACAACCCATCAAACCCTCCCGCCATGCGGCCAAGGAAGCATGCAGCATCTCTAGCTTCTCGAAAGAGGCTAACTCGGCTGCAGTTGCACTGGCACCCCTCATTTCCTCTTCTCCTCAGGTGCCAGCTGCAGCCACCAATCGCCCACCGGCGGGCCACCATACGAAGCATGCAATACCTCTATCTGATTTCCCCAAGAATGCAAAGGCTGCTGCACTTGCACCCCTCACTTCCTCTTCTCCTCAGGTGCCAGCAGCAGCCACCAATCGCCTCCCTCATTTCGAAGTATTATAGCTTGGAAGATGGTTGACCGAGGCAGTTCAGAGGCGAGAGGTTTGTCCTCTTGTGGATTTTCAGCTTTTTCGTCCAATAGAATTCAAGTTAATCACATGCCATTTTTGTCCCCCTAATGTTCCTAAGAAGTTGCACCCTGCCTTTAAAGGCACAAGTGAGGGATTTTTGGGAGCTGGGGGTGCAATTTTCAGGTGGGGCAGTGCAAGTGAATCCAGCAGAGGCGAATTCGGCTTCACTTGCACCCCTCATTTCCTCTTCTCCTCAGGTGCCAGCAGCAGTCGCCAGTCTCCTGGCCGAGCCAACAAGCCATCGTCACAGCGCCACCCATTCGCTCTCAGCGCCTCACACAACCCATCAAACCCCGCAGCCATGCGGTCATACGAAGCATGCAGCACCTCTAGCTTCCCCAAGGAAGCGAATTCGGCTGCGCGGGCTTGGACGTGGGTGCGCGCTTGGGGTGCGAGAGAGTGGATGGTGGGGCAGAGGACGTGTGGAGAGAGGGTGCGGAGGTAGGCGGCTTGCAGGGCCGCTCTGAGGAAATCCCTTGGGAGTGCCCCCTCCTTCAACACTACCTGCATGGATGGTGGTTGCAGGGGTGAGAAGGCATGGGGATGAGAGGAGAAGGAATAGATGTGAGGGGAAGAGGAGAGCATGCAGCACCTTGATCTGCTTCCCCAAGGAGGAAAACTCGGCGGCGCGGGCTTGGACGTGGGTGCGCGCTTGGGGGGCGAGGGAATGAATGGTGGGGCAGAGGACGTGTGGAGATAGAGTGCGGAGGTAGGCGGCTTGCAGGGCCGCTCTGAGGAAGTCCCGAGGGAGTGCTCCTTCCTTCAACACTACCTGTATGGATGGTGGGTAGAAAGAGTGGATGGTGGGGCAGAGGACGTGTGGAGAGAGCGTGCGGAGGTAGGCGGCTTGTAGGGCCGCTCAGAGGAAGTCCTTTGGGAGGGCCCCCTCCTTCAACACTACGTGCAAGAAGAATGGTGAGTGGTTGATAGGGGTGAGAAGGCAAGAGGTGTGGAGAGAGAGTGCGGAGGTAGGCGCCTTGCAGGGCCGCTCGTAAGAAATCCCAAGGAAGAGCTCCTTCTTTCAACACAACCTGCATGGTGAGTGCGTGGGGTGAGGAGGAATGGCGGTGTAACGAGGAGATCATTTAGTGGCAGGTGGATTGGAGGGCAGCCCGGAGGAAATTCCGAGGGAAAGCTCCTTCTTTCAACACAACCTGCATGGTGAGTGCGTGGGGTGAGGAGGCATGGCGGTGTAACGAGGAGATCATTTAGTGGCAGGTGGATTGGAGGGCAGCCCGGAGGAAATCCCAAGGGAAAGCTCCTTCTTTCAACAGAACCTGGATGGTGAGTGCGTGGGGTGAGGAGGCATGGCGATGGAACGAGGAGATCAATCTAGCGGCAGGCAGGTGGATTGGAGGGCAGCCCGGAGGAAGTCCCGAGGGAGAGCTCCTTCTTTCAACAGAACCTGGATGGTGGGTGACAGATAGGGGTGGGTGGGAAAGCAAGAGGTGAGAATCTAGATGCAGACAGCTTGCAGTGGGCAGAAAGAGTGGATGGTGGGGCAGAGGGGGTGTGGGGCGAGCGTGCAGAGGTAGGCGGCTTGTAAGGCCGTTGTCACTCATGGTTGGAAGGGCAGCAGCACTAAGAGAAAGTGAGGCGCCTCAAAAAAAGTGGGGCAAGCGTGCAGAGGTAGGCGGCTTGTAAGGCCGCTCGGAGGAAGTCCCGAGGTAGAGCCTCCTCTTTCAACACAGCCTGGTGAGTGACAGGGGTGAGAATGCATGGAGGTAAGAGGAGAAGGAATGGATGTGAGAGGAAGAGGAGAGGTAGTCTGCTTGGAGCGCCGCACAGAGGAAGTCCCGAAGTAGATCCCTCTTCTAGCTCAACTTGCATGGTGCTCTTTCAAGAGAGGGATCTCTTTCGAGACTTCCTCCGTGCGGCGGCGTGACACCCCTAACACAACCTGCATGGTGAGTGTCAGGGGTGGAAGGGACGGGATTGAGACGAGGAGGCACACATGCGGAGGTGGCCGGATTTGTAAGGCCGCCCGGAGGAGGTCCCTAGACAGATCCCTCTTTCAACACAACCTGCAGGCCCCCACACATTCCCGTTTCTCCCACCCACCCACGCACACAGATGCACACAGCATGAACCTGCATCTGCCCTGTACGCTCGTCCTGTCAAAGGAGGTACTTCTCTCCTCAGCATATCCCATCCCAGCCACCGCCTCTGCCTCCTCCCACTGCACATCACAGCACAGCACACCTGTGTGCCTCACTCCCATCTCAAAACACAAGCATGCGCAGCAGCACACGCACCTGCATCTGCCCCGTACGCTCGTCCCTCCCAAGCAGGTACTTCTCTCCTCGGAATATATCAGCCATGGTCTCAGCCTCCCGCTCTGTGTGCGCCACTGCGGCCAAGGGCACCCCAAATTCGATCCAGTTCTCACTCCCTGTGCCGGGAAGGGGTGGAGGAGACGCCTGGGAAAGGGGACGCGGAGAAGGGGCGGGGGAGGGGAACGGGTGGAGAGGGGGGAATGAGGGGGTTGAGAGGTCTCTTTTTGCGCCACTGCTGCCAAGGGCACTCCGAACTCGATCCAGTTCTCACTGCCTGTGCCTGGACGAGGAGGGGGAGAGGCCTGGAAAGGGGAGGAGGGGAGGGGGTTCGGGTGGAATGGGAGTAAGGGAGTGTTGAGACGTCTGTCTGTGTGAGCCACTGCTGCCTACTTGCCAAGGGCACTCCGAACTCAATCCAGTTCTTGCTACCTGTGCCGGGGAGAGGTGGAGGGGACGCCTGTGAAGAGAGAAAGGGGAGAAGGAGGGATGAGATCTCTCTGTGTGAGTGAGGCACTGCAGCTAAGTGGCACTTGTAACGCACATGCAATGCACATGCACCATACATACATGCACCACACATACATCACACATGCACCACACCAGAGATACCTTGGGCGAAAATATCGATTTGAGGGGCGGCAGAATGGGTTCCTGGGAGTTGACTTCGATGACACCTGGCACCCTGCCATTGGTCACGTACTCTGCCAGGACAATATCTGGGGAAAGAACAGTGGTAGAAGAGAGCACAGGGGAAGCAGAGAGGACAGCGCAGCGGAGCAAGCTACTTAGACAGAAACAGGTGAAGGAGGGAACTAATTGAGTTGTGCTTACAGCGACCGTCGTGCCTTACAGCTCAAAGACACGACGGTCGCTGCTCTGGCGAATGTTTTTGGGGCGCCTCAAACTTTTTGAGATGATTTTTGAGGCGCCTAAAAAACAATTGTGGTTACAGCTCAAAGACATGACATGACAATAGCTGCTCTGGAAGTAACTATCTGCTTCTGAATCCACTGGATTGAATGCTTGTGAGGCTTCCTGCAAGCAAGTACTTATTTTACCTGCTCTGAAGGGGTTGAGCGTCCTGAGTTGAACGGCCTTGTACGAGCGGTAGTTGCAAAACAGGTGGGCGGCGGACAGCAGGCCATGAGTTGCCCACAGTAGAGGGCCCCGGGTGCCCACGTGAGGAGCAACGACGATGCCTAGTGCCATCCCCAATGTCTTGCTCACCATGCCCTGTGCCTCTGCACGTGCTAGCACCTGAGGGGAGAGGAAGAGGAGGAACAGTCAGAGAAAACACACAAATGGTTGGGTTCGGACAGCAGGGCGTGTGTTGCCCAGAGTAGAGGACCCCTCGTGCCCACGTGAGGAGCAATGGCGATACCCAGGGCCATGCCCAATGTCTTGCTCACCATGCCCTGTGCCTCTGCGCGTGCTAGCACCTGTGGGGAGAGGAAGGGGAGGAGCAGAAAGTGAAGTACAATCACATGGGTGGGCCGGACAGCAGGGCATGCGTGGATCAGCCACAGCAGAGGACCCCTGGTGCCTACGTGAGGAGCAATGGCGATGCCTAGAGCCATCCCCAATGTCTTGCTCACCATGCCTTGTGCCTCTGCCCGCGCCAAGACCTGGGGGGAGATGAAAAGGAGGAACAGTCAGAGAAAGCACACGAAAGGTTCGGTTCGGACAGCACGGCATGCGTCGCACACAGCAGAGGGCCCCGGGTGCCCACGTGTGGAGCGATGGCGATACCCAGGGCCATGCCCAATGTCTTGCTCACCATGCCCTGTGCCTCTGCACGTGCTAGCACCTGTGGGAGAGGAAGGCAGGGTGGAGTGGAAGGGAGAACACGGGGAGCGTAATGTAATGAGAGGAGCACAGCACCGGGCCTATCGTGCCCATGTGTGGGGCGATGGCGAGGCCTCATGCCATGCCATCCTAATGTCTTGCTCAATGCTCACAATACCCTGTGCGGCTGAGCCTCTGCGCATACCAACACTCGGGGTGGTAGGGTTGGTTAAGAAGGGGGATGAAAGGCTGACGAGTTAAGACATGTGACTCGTGAACCTGAAAACCATAAGAGCCGCTTCCTTCCAGTCCCAGCACAAGCCTGTATAAGCACCGATATAAATGCTAGGCTTTTTTAAAAGCTTTCTGCAATTGGAACCCATCCAACCCCAGCCAGGATTATAAGTCCAAGGAGGGAGGATATCCCCCCTCCTGGCCCATGTGTGGGGCGATGGCGAGGCCGCCTCATGCCATCCCAATTATCTTGCCCTGTCTTTGAGGCGTCTCAAAAGTAATGACGCCTACTGCCATCTCCAATGTCTTGCTCGATGCTCACCATGCCCTGTGCGGCTGTGCTTCTGCGCACACACACCAACACTCGGGGTGGTTGGGTTGGGGAAGAAGAAGGGGGATGAAAGGCTGACGAGTTAAGACATGTGACTCGTGAACCTGAAAACCAAAAGAGCCGCTTACTTCCATTCCCAGCACACGCCTATAAAAGCACCGATATAAATGTTAGGCCTTTTTTTAAGGCTTTCTGCAATTTGAACCCATACAACCCCAGCCAGGATTATAGAAGGTAAGGAAGTCCAAGGAGGGAGCATATCCCCCCTACTGGCCCCATTGGCTCCCGAGACGGCGTTGAATCTCACCTCGGTGCGGTACAAGAGAGGAGGAAGAGGAAGAGAAATTATAATACCGAAGAGCAAACAAGGGGTACTATAACGCAGAGCGTGGACAATAAAGAGAGTGACAATAGCGAGAGGGGAGATGAAACCCCCCCATGACCCCCCCCAAGGCCCCCCTACCCCCCAATCCTCCTCACAGCCCCCCACCCCGCCCCCCAAAATCCCTGGCATGGGCATGGTCCCCCCTATCCCTGGCATGGGCATGGTCCCCCCTATCCCTGGCATGGGCATGGTCCCCCCTATCCCTGGCATGGGCATGGTCCCCCCCCCTATCCCTACAGGAAAAAGGCAGCAGCAACAGTAACCGGCCAGCAGCAACAGTAACCGGGTGGATGCAACAGTAACCGGGCGGCGAGCAGGCGGCAGCAACAGTGTGCTGGGCGGCAGCAATAGTGCCTGGGCGGCAGCAATAGTGCCTGGGCGGCAGCAACAGTGCCTGGGCGGCGGCAGAAACAGTGCCTGGGCGGCGGCAGCAACAGCTGCACCAGCTGATTGAGCCCCCATTCGGCCAGTAGGGTCGGACAGAGGGGGCCGGGAGTGGGAAGGAGTAGGTGTGATAGGTAGAACTGTGGTCTGGTTGTTTGTCTTACTTGTGTTTGCACCTTCCTTGTAACACCCACCGTGATTAATGCAAGGACCGTTCGAGGGGGAAGGGATGCAACATGTTGAACTGGGAGGGCGTGACCTCGGCTGCATAGCCCAGCCCGTCCTTTACCACGAAGGACCGTTTGAGAGAAGAGAGAGAAGGAAGGGCTTCAGGTGAGGAAAAGGACGGAGAGAGGAGGGCAGGGGAGATGAAGGTTCTTAGACATAGCAAACAGACCTCAATTGAAGGAGCCTGCGACATAGAAACGCCTCTCACCTGCGTTGTAAGCACGTGGTTCATTTCGCTCGCCACTGTTTGCCGCATGCGCCACACTGTATACTCCATATAGTCAGGAGTCACACTATCGGGATAACCCTCTGGTAACATCCATCGAACCACCGCCGCTTTCACTCCCCTCACCACCCGCGCAACCATATCCACCCCTCTGCTCCGCTCATCCTCCTCCCCCGCTAAAACCCTACCCCCTGCGGCCTTCCCGTTGCCATTCCCCGTGCTTGTAACGATCCCCTTTACAACGCGTCCGTGTTCCTCCTCGTACGCGTTAGCAGCTTCCTCGCCTTCCAATTCAACTTCCACCCTTAGCTGGCCCTTCCCCCTATTGCTGCTTGCACTGCTGCTGCTGTTGAGGCCAATGACCAACGAGGAGTGATACTAACGAGAGGCGAGGAGAAACCCCCCCACGGCCCCCCCAAGGCCCCCCCAAGGCCTGGTCCTGGTCCTGGTCCTGGTCCTGGTCCTGGTCCTGGCCCTGGTCCTGGTCCTGGTCCTGGTCCTGGTCCTGGTCCTGGTCCTGGTCCTGGTCCTGGTCCTGGTCCTGGTCCTGGTCCTGGTCCTGGTCCTGGTCCTGGTCCTGGTCCTGGTCCCGGTCCTGTTCCAGGTCCTGTTCCTGTTGTCAGAAGGCGGCTGGAACAGTAACGAGACAGCAGGAACAGTAGCCGGGCGGCAGTAACAGTAACAAGGTGGCCGTAGCAGTAACTGGGCGGCTGGAACAGTCATCCCCGTCTCTGTGCTTCTGTTTCTGTATCTTGCAATCTGTCTCCGTTTGTTTCAGTAGTTTCTGTTCTCCCCTCTCACTGCTTCTGTTTCTGTTTCTGTGCTTCTGTTAACCCCTGTCACTCTTCTTCTGTTTCTGTTTGTCCTGCGTTTCTGCCTCTGTTTCTCAGTCGCTGATCACAGGTGTGGCCTTGTGTCTCTCTCTGTGTGTCTCTGTCTCTAGTTGTCTCCATGCTCCCCATCCCATCCCTGGGCCAAGCCCACACCGACCCGACCTGGCCACGACAGGGCCATCCCGGCTCATATAGTGAACAAGAACAAGCACACGCACTTTTCAAACCCTTAACTGTACTAATTTAGAATCCTATTTCTTCATTATGTCTTCAAAAAAGGCGCCCCGCACGAGAGAATGCCACCTGCACAGGTGGGGTGCGGTGGGGTGGGGTGGGGAGGAGGGACGGATGGCGGGATGGCCGGTGCGAGGGGATGGCGTGTGGCGGGTTCTGAAATTGTGGCAGAGGTGGCAAGTGGTGGGGAGGAGAGGAGGTGAACAGAGGGGAGGAGAGGAGGTGAACAGAGGGGAGGAGAGGAGGTGAACAGAGGGGAGGAGAGGAGGTGAACAGAGGGGAGGAGAGGAGGTGAACAGAGGGGAGGAGAGGAGGTGAACAGAGGGGAGGAGAGGAGGTGAACAGAGGGGAGGAGAGGAGGTGAACAGAGGAACAGAGAGGCGGTGAACAGAGGGGAGGATAGGAGGTGAACAGAGGGGAGGAGAGGAGGTGAACAGAGGGGAGGATAGGAGGTGAACAGAGGGGAGGAGAGGAGTTGAACAGACCACGGGAGGAGAGGAGGTGAAGAGAGGGGAGGAGAGGAGGTGAAGAGAGGGGAGGAGAGGAGTTGAACAGAGGGGAGGAGAGGAGGTGAACAGAGGAGAGGAGAGGTTTTAGCATAGGGGTTGGCGGGATGGCAAGTGTGGTGTGAGTGAGGGACTGGCGGGATGGCACGCATGTGTTGTGAGGAGTGCAGAGCAAGGGAGGGAACGACGAGTGCAGAGCAAGGGAGGGAACGACGAGTGCAGAGCAAGGGAGGGAACGACGAGTGCAGAGCAAGGGAGGGAACGACGAGTGCAGAGCAAGGGAGGGAACGACGAGTGCAGAGCAAGGGAGGGAACGACGAGTGCAGAGCAAGGGAGGGAACGACGAGTGCAGAGGTGCGGGAAGGTGAATAGAGGGGAGCAGTGGGGGGAGGTGAATACAAGGGATAAGTGGGGGATGGTGCGCGTGGGGAGCGGAGGGTGAATAGTAAGGGATGGGGAAACCGTGGGGTGAACAGTGGGGGATGGGGAGGAAGGGCGGAATGAGGAGAAAGGGCGCAACGAGGAGAAAGGGCGCAACGAGGAGAAAGGGCGGAATGAGGAGAAAGGGCGGAACGAGGAGAAAGGGCGGAATGAGGAGAAAGGGCGGAACGAGGAGAAAGGGCGGAACGAGGAGAAAGGGCGGAACGAGGAGAAAGGGCGGAACGAGGAGAAAGGGCGGAACGAGGAGAAAGGGCGGAACGAGGAGAAAGGGCGGAACGAGGAGAAAGGGCGGAACGAGGAGAAAGGGCGGAACGTGGAGAAAGGGCGGAACGAGGAGAAAGGGCGGAACGAGGAGAAAGGGCGGAACGTGGAGAAAGGACGGAACGAGGAGAAAGGGCGGAACGAGGAGAAAGGGCGGAACGAGGAGAAAGGGCGGGACGAGGAGAAAGGGCGGAACGAGGAGAAAGGGCGGAACGAGGAGAAAGGGCGGAACGAGGAGAAAGGGCGAAACGAGGAGAAAGGGCGGAACGAGGAGAAAGGGCGGAACGAGGAAGCAATCTTCTCACCCTTATCCAAGTTCCCTAGCATGACGGAGTGGAGGCGCGGGAAGGGGAGGGGATTAGGTTGACCGCGGCGGGAAACGGCAGCGCTCGGTTCTCTCCCGCCATCCGCGAGTACTGCTCCTGTACTGTACCCACTTTAGATCCGCTTCAGTCTGCTCCATCCGCGCTGTCTACTCCTGTACCTGCGGGGGCAAATGAACAAGCAGATTCACATGAATACGCACACGTGGAACGAGTACACTTGTGTATGTACATTCACACGACCACGCACGCATGCTACCCTTTGGCAGCTGCAGCAGCTCATCTTTCAGTCGTCTCACTCACTTGCCCAGCCACCTCTGCTTGAAAAAACTCTTACCTGCCCGCCCACCTCTTCTTCAAGCTCTCACCTGCGCGGCCACCCCTGCTTCAAACTCTCACCTGCCCGGCAATCTCTACCCCAAAATTCGGTGGGAAACCGCGGGAAGGAAAACCTTGGGAAACCAACCATGGGAAAGAGCGGGAAACGGCGGGAAAAGGCAGGAAAGGGCGGGATTCAGCGCGGAAAGGGCACTAAGCCGTGCCTGGGGCGCGGAAAAAAAACAACTTGCCAAGCCTGCAGCGCGGAAAGGGCACTTGGCCGTGCCTGGGGCGCGGAAAAAAAAAACAACTTGCCAAGCCTGCAGCGCGGAAAGGGCACTAAGCCGTGCCTGGGGCGCGGAAAAAAAAAAACAACTTGCCAAGCCTGCAGTGCGGAAAGGGCACTTCGCCGCGCCTGCAGCGCGGAAAAGGGCAAGTCGCCGCGCCTGCAGCGCGGAAAGGCACTTGGCCGCGCCTCTCACCAGGCAGTGCCGAGCCTCTCACCAGGCAGTGCCGAGCCTCTCACCAGGCAGTGCCGAGCCTCTCACCAGGCAGTGCCGAGCCTCTCACCAGGCAGTGCCGAGCCTCTCACCAGGCAGTGCCGAGCCTCTCATGGCGCGCGATCCGCCGCCTGGTGATGCTCGCGTGCTGGTGGGAGAGGTAGGTGAGTGCGTTTCCTTCGTCATAGGAACATTTGCCGTCAGATCAGTGCACAACTCGTGTCGCGTCGCTGTCAGAGATAAAACAAAGAAAGAAGAACATATTTACAAAAATAATTGAACAATTTGACGCAAACCTGAATACAAAAGGAGGCAGTGAAGCAGGCGCCTGGTGAGAGTGTTGAGCGAGAAACGGCGAAAAAAGGCACGAGGCAGAAAATGGAGAGGAGAGGAAGGGCCGGGGAAGAGGGAAACTTTAGCTAGAAATATAATCTCACGTTAATATAACTATAAAACGCAACTAAAAAACAGGAGCTTCTGCTGGAACGCGGATTAACTCTCACAGGGGCCTAAGCTGCTGCGCCCACCATTCCGTCAGCTGCTTCCGCGGCGCGACATCGGCCATCTGCTGCCGCGGCGCGACATTCCGCCATCTGCTGCGCGCGCCAATTCGCCTGCTGCTGCGCGCGCCATTCCCCCTGCTGTGGCGCGCGCCATCCCCCCTGCTGCTGAACGATCTATGACTAGGAGAACAAATAAAAAGAAAACTAAGAGAATGCTACTAAGAGCATTAAGAGAATGCTACTACTAGTGAGACCATCCAGTGAGAGGGACGCTGGGAGAAGAAGAGCAGTCGAGAGAAAGAGGAGTCAAGGAGGAGGTAACAATGGGAGAGTTGAAGGACTCGCGTGCTGGTGGGAGAGGTAGGTGAGTGCTTTTCCTTCACCAGATCAGCACCACTCGTGTCGCGTCGCTGTCAAAGAGAAAACAAATAAAAAAGAACATCAGCACCACTCGTGTCGCGACCGTTCGACGGTGAGGTCCGACCGAGCCACCTCGCGCGCACGCGCGTTCGCTCTGCGCAGCGACCCGTGTGACATGACATAGCATGCTGCAAACTAAACTGACATCAAACGCGATATTCGCAAATGAGAAAAAGCGCGGGACGGCTAAAGGAGAGCGCTGCGCAGGGTGCAGCGCGAGGCGAGCAGGACGACGACTATCTAACGACCGCGAGGCGCACGAACAAACACGCGACTGGGACCTTAGCGAATGACACAGCAGCGGATTAGGTGGCTGTGACTGTAATTCTAGCTGAATAGTCGGTACGAGGGAATAAGGTTCGAGTAGACCTGATTTGGTTTGGGCTGAGGCAGCAGCGGGATGGATAGACGGGTAGCTAGCCAACCCCTCCCACACAATGTTGTGTAACATTTCGGGCAGTAGAAATAAAAGTAGAAGCATCTCGTAACTAAAATGGAAAAATCAGACCACTCCTACTACTACAGTGAAGTCGTTTCGATTTTACTGTTGAATGGAAGGGTTCCAACTCGGACCTGAACACCCACCTCCTCAACCCAAAAAACAGCCCCCAATGGGGTTTCTAAGCCTGGTCCGCAACAGGTCGCGGTGGAACAGGTCAAGAAACTCAAAGACAGCCCCCAATGGGGTTTCAGAGCCTGCTCCAGCGCACACGTCGCGGTGGAACAGGTCAAGAATGATACTATAACAGTGAGGTTCCAATTTACAGCGCGGTTCGGACGAATCTTGATTTGCAAAGTGTATATATTGCTGTTGCTAACCAACTAGCATCAACTATGATTGCGTTTCAAATGTGAATTGTTCAATAAACATGCGAGAAGATAAACACATGACACACATAATGGCATTACAAGTTGCGTAAGCATAAATCACAATCAAATATGTGTAATATTGGTACGTTATTTTTATTTCCTGCTTTCATGCCTAATTCATACTTCTCTTGATGTAATGCAAGCATGATTGCTAGTGCTCGTACTCTTAATGCCTGTAAACTATCTACTTCAACGTCAATGCGTTGGGGTGGCTTTGAGCGGTGCCGAGTGTTGCCGAGAGGTTTAGAGTGGTAGTGAGCGGTGCTGATACGTCCGATGCGGTCGTTGATGGTGCTGAACGCTCTTGGGTGGTGACGAGTGGTGATGAGTAGCTCAGAGAGGTGTCGGGTGGTGATGAGCGGCTCCGAGCGGTGCCGAATGCTGCAGAGCGGTACAGAGCGGCAGTGAGCGGTGCTGGGTTGTTGTGTGCAGTGATTGGTGGTGTTGAGCACTTGTGAGTGGTGATGAGCGGTGAAGGACAGTGACGAGCCGCTCAAAGAGGTGCCGAGTGGTGATGAGCGGATCTGAGCAGTGCCGAGTTCTGCAGCGCGGTTCAGAACGGCAGTGAGAGGTGTTGGGCCTTTGTGTGCGGTCATTGGTGGTGGTGAGTGCCCGTGAGTGGTGATGAGTGGCTCAGAGAGGTGTCGAGTGGTGATGAGCGGCCCTGAGCGGTGCCGAGTGCTGCAGTGCGGTTCAGAGCAGCAGTGAGAGGTGTTGGGCCTTTGTGAGCAGTCATTAGTGATGCCGAGCGCCCGTGAGTGGTGACACCAACAGCAGCAGTAGGAAACACAAGCACAAGCAGCAAACGGTAGTTGTGAGCATCTGCATCACCATCGAGCGGCAACAGAATATGCTCAGCAGCAGTAGGAAACACCAGCATGAGCACAAGCAGCAAACGGTAGTAGTGAGCATCCGCTTCACCATCGAGCAGCAACAGAAAGTGCTCAGCAACAGTAGGAAACACCAGCACAAGCACAAAGCAGCGAATGGTAGTAGTGAGCATGCGCCTCACCATCAAGCAGCAACAAAAAATATTCGGCAGCAGTAGGAATGACCAGCACGAGCACAAGCAGCGAAAGGTAGTAGTGGGCATTGGCCTCACCATCGAGCAGCAACAGGAAAATATTCGGCAGCAGTAGGAAACACCAGCACGAGGACTAGCGCGAACGGTAGTATTGAGCATCCGTCTCACCATCGAGCAGCAACAGAAAATATTCGGCAGCAGTAGGAAACACCAGCATGAGGACTAGCGCGAACGGTACTATTGAGCATCCGTCTCACCATCGAGCAGCAACAGAAAATATTCGGCAGCAATAGGAAACACCAGCACGTGCACAAGCAGCGAACGGTAGTAGTGAGCATCCACCTCACCATCGAGCAGCAACAGAAAATATTTGACGGCAGTAGGAAACACCAGCACGGGCACAAGCAGGAACGGTAGTAGTGACCATCCGTCTCGCCATCGAGCAGCAACAGAAAGTATTCGGCAGCAGTAGGAAACACCAGTTAAGAACAGTTTCACCGTTCTCAACCGAGAGAACATATTAGGGTTAACCAACCAAGGCTGCAAGGAAACGCGCCCCGAACTGACCCAGCTTCACCACAACACTTCCGCCAAAGCACCCGCTCGCATCACCTTCATTGCGCCACCTAGTACCACCCCTCGCCAGCCCGTCGTAGTAGCAGTAGTAGCACCAGCAAATTCGTACTGTAGGGTGTATGTATTTCGCACCAGTCTTCTTTGCTACTCTGCAAAGCCGCTCGGTGTTTGGCTAAACAAGTTTTGTTTTGCCACTCTCATTGCCTTTTAAGAGAAATTACGCTCAAAAACTGCGTGACTTTTAGATATCTGTTTAATCCGTTCCCCTCGCGCTTACGTCAGGTCAACAAAGCAGATTCGTGAATCGGGACCTCACCCACCCACCCGCACACCAGCACGAGCACAAGCAACGAACGGTAGTAGTGAGCATTCGCGTCACGATCGAGCAGCAACGGGAGGAGAAGGAGGACGACGAGGACCAGGACGAGGAGCAGGAGCAGGAGGAGGAGGAGAAGGAGGAGGACGAGGAGGAGGAGGAGGAGGAGGAGGAGGAGGAGGAGGAGGAGGAGGAGGAGGAGGAGGAGGAGGAGGAGGAGGAGGAGGGGGACGACGACGACGACGACGAGAAGGAAGACGACGACGATGAGGAGGAAGACGACGAAGAAAAGGAGGGCGAGGAGTAGGAGTAGGAGGAGGAAGACGAGAAAGAGAAGGAGGAGGAGCAGGAGGAAGACGAGGAGTAGGAGGACGACGACAAGGAGGTTCACAACGAGGAGGAGGAAGACGAGGAGGAAGAGAACGAGCAGGAGCATGAGGAGGCGGAGGAGGAGGAGGAGGAGGAGGAGGAGGAGGAGGAGGAGGAGGAGGAGGAGGAGGAGGAGGAGGAGGAGGAGGAGGAGGAGGACGAGGACGAGGACGAGGAGGAGGAGGAGGAGGAGGAGGAGGAGGAGGAGGAGGAGGAGGAGGAGGAGGAGGAGGAGGAGGAGGAGGAGGAGGAGGAGGAAAAGGAGGAGGAGGAGGAGGAGGAGGAGGAGGAGGAGGAGGAGGAGGAGGAGGAGGAGGAGGAGGAGGAGGAGGAGGAGGAGGAAACACCAGCATGAGCACAAGCAGCGGACAGTAGTAGTGAGCATTTGCCTCACCATCGAGCAAAACCGGAAAATGTACAGCGGAAGTAGAAAACACCAGCACGAGCACAAGCAACGAACGGTAGTTGTCAGCATCCTCCTCACCATAGTGCAGCAACCAAAAATATTCTGCAGCGGTAGGAAACATTAGCACGAGCACAAGCAGCGAACGTAGTAGTGAGCATCCGCCTCACCATCGAGCACCAACATAAAATATTCAACAGCAGTAGGAAACTCCAGCACGAGCACAAGCAGCGAACGGTAGATGTGAGCATCCGCCTCACCATCGAGCAGCAACAGAAAACATCCAGCAGCGGTAGGAAACACCAGCACGAGCACAAGCAACGAACGGTAGTTGTCAGCATCCGCCTCACCATCGAGCAGCGACGAAAATTATTCAGGAGCAGTAGGAAACACCAGCACGAGCACAAGCAGCGAACGGTAGTAGTGAGCATCCGCCTCACCATCAAGGAGCAACGGAAAATGTTCAACAACAGTAGGACACCAGCACGAGCACAAGCAACGAACGGTAGTAGTGAGCATTCGCCTCACGATTGAGCAGCAACGGGAGGAGAAGGAGGACGACGACGACGAGGACCAGGACGAGGAGCAGGAGCAGGAGGAGGTGGAGAAGGAGGAGGAGGAGGAGGAGGAGGAGGAGGAGGAGGAGGAGGAGGAGGAGGAGGAGGAGGAGGAGGAGGAGGAGGAGGAGGAGGAGGAGGAGGATGACGACGACGACGACGACGACGAGAAGGAGGACGACGACGATGCGGAGGAAGACGACGGGGAGGAAGAGGGCGAGGAGTAGGAGTAGGAGGAGGAAGACGAGAAGGAGGACGAAGAGGAGCAGGAGGAACACGAGGAGTAGGAGGACGACGAGGAGGAGGTTGCCAACGAGGAGGAGGAAGACGAGGAGGAAGAGGACAAGGGGTAGGGCAACAACGAGGAGGAGGAGGACGTCGAGCAGGTGAACGGGGAGGAGGAGGACGACGACATGGACAAGGACGAGGAGCAGGAGGAGGAGCAGGAGTAGGAGGAGGATGAGGAGGAGGAGGAGGAGGAGGAGGAGGAGGAGGAGGAGGAGGAGGAGGAGGAGGAGGAGGAGGAGGAGGTGGTGGAGAAGGAGGAGGAGGAGGAGGAGGAGGAGGAGCAGGAGGAGCAAGAGGAGGAGGAGGAGGAGGAGGAGGAGGAGGAGGAGGAGGAGGAGGAGGAGGAGGAGGAGGAGGAGGAGGAGGAGGAGAACGAGGAGGAGAATTTCAAGGAGGAGCAGGACGAGGAGGAGAAGGAAGGGGACAAGGAGGAGCAAGACGAGGAGGAAGAGGACGAGGAGAACGATGAGGAGTAGGAGGAGGATGAGGAGGACGAGGAGTGGGAGGACGACGAGACGGAGAACGATGAGGAGGAAGAGGACGAGGGGAGGGAGCTCGACGAGGATGATGAGCACGAGGAGGAAGAGGAGGAGGAGGAGGAGGAGGAGGAGGAGGAGTAGGAGGAGGAGGAGGAGGAGGAGGAGGAGGAGGAGGAGGAGGAGGAGGAGGAGGAGGAAACACCAGCATGAGCACAAGCAGCAAACAGTAGTACTGAGCATCCGCCTCACAATCGAGCAGGAACATAAAATACTCAGCAGCAGTAGGAAACACCATCACGAGCACAAGCAGCGGAATGTAGTAGTGAGCATTTGCCTCACCATCGAGCAGCAACAGAAAATATTCAGCAGTAGTACGAAACACCAGCACGAGCACAAGCAGCGGACAGTAGTAGTGAGCATTTGCCTCACCATAGAGCAGAAACGGAAAATGTACAGCGGAAGTAGAAAACACCAGCACGAGCACAAGCAGCGAACGGTAGTTGTCAGCATCCTCCTCACCATCCTCCTCGCTTGCCACGTTGACCAGCCCGAGGTCACTGTTGGCGGCACCCTTTGACTGTAATGATTACACAGAGCTGGATGACAGATGGATGTCGGATGGATGTCAGGTCACTTGGGACACAATGCCGGCCTTAAAAATCTCACCTACCACCCTGACATCCGTCGACATCCATCGACATCCGTCTACATGTCACTTTGGACACTCCCTTAGGTGCAATTGTGTTGTCAAACCAATCAAGCGTTTGCAGCTAAAAAAACGCCGAGGCTAGGATACTGTACGGGGCGGCAAATCGGAGTTTTGGGCTGCTTTGCATGTCGTTCGTTCTTTGGGTGTGCAACAAGCGAGCGAATTGGCTCGCTCAAGACGGGTAGGACAGAATCAGACGTGGCAAATATATCTCTCCTCACCCTCAACTCACCTTGCGCAAAACGACTGTTAGTCAGTGGAATTTTGTCGGGGAAAACTTGCTCATCTATTCTTCCCACCGTCTTCGCAGTGTTCTTTTGGTGTTTGGCTAAGACCTCGCTCGTTTTTCTCTTCGACTCCCCTTATGTTGTGACACAAAGTGATGCAAGTGGTTTTTGTCTGCCTATCATTTCTTTTCTTTCTCTGCCCTCAGATTTGATTTGGCACGCTCACGAGAGGTAGGCAGATTCTCTTTCTGCAGTTTCTAACTGTACGTATCACCCCTCCTCGTGCAACTTACTCCCTTCCTCGGTAGTGAAGATGATTGCTCAGTCGGCCCTCGCGCTACCATATTTTGTTTTAGCCGGGGGAGGGGTGGGGTTGGCGCACGGAGGTGGAAGAGGGGGAGGGGGGGCAGCAGGGGGAGGGGTGGGTGGTTCTGGAGGAGCAAAGCTGTCTGCTCTGCTTGCTGACCTGCCTGCCGTGACAGCGTGAGTTTGTGACTTGTGATGCAAGTCCCCCATCACTGAGGCATCTCAATAGCCCTCTCCCACAAAACAAAACCGTTTGAAATGCTAAGCCCTCGTTCCCTTCTCACCTCCTACCCTTCCTTCTTGCCTTGTACCCTTTCTTCTGCCCCTCCCTGTCTCTCTCCCATCCCCCTAGACCCATATACCTCGCTCATTGCACCAAGTCCCTCATTCCAACAGGTTCATCCTGCCTCTCCTACCTTTCCTTCCTCTCAATCTCTCCTTCCCTTCTGTCCCGTTCTTCCTCTTCCCACCCCTCTTTCTTCCCCTCAACAAATGGTATTTTTTAACTCCGTTGCTTCCCGCTTCCTCCCCCAAATCGTATTCCTCCTCCTCCGCTGCTTCCCGCTTCCTCCTCCTCCTCTTCCTCCTCCTCCTCCTCCTCCTCCTCCTCCTCCTCCTCCTCCTCCTCCTCCTCCTCCTCCTCCTCCTCCTCCTCCTCCTCCTGCTTATCTCCCCGCCAGCCCGCTTTCTACAGACGACGGGGAGAACAAGCTTGTTCAGAACCAGAAACCCGTATCCTCTCCACTCATAGCCTCCTTCTCCCATACCCCCTACCCTCTCATCCTGTCACTGGCCCTCTCCTCCCCTTCCCTCCCCCCCTCTCCCCTCACTCCCTTACCCCCAGCCGTTGTGCCACCTAGCCTCGTTCTCCCATCCCCCCTACCCTCTCATCCTGTCACTGCCCCTCTCCTCCCCTTCCCTCCCGTCCCCTCCCTCACTCCCTCCCCGCGGCCTTTGTGCCACCTGTCGCCCTGCCTCTGCGGGTTCCTTCCCACAGCCTGGATTGCTGCGGGCGACGAGGAGAGGAGAACGAGTGTGAGCTCAATTAGAGAGCCTCTTCCCTCTTTACCCCTTTCATTGCTCTCCCTTCCGCGTTGTCTCCCCACCACCTCGCTCGCTGCATGCGACGAGGAGAAGGAGATTGGGCTAAATCAGAGAACCAATTCTATCGTTACCCCTTAAAAGGCTTCTTCCTCTTCCTTTCCTCCACTTTACATTTCCTGTCCCCTTTCCCCTCCCTCCTGCCCCACCCGTTGTCTCCCCATCCCCATCGCCTCGCTTGATGCATGCTATGAGGAGAGGAGAACGAGATTGGGCTCAACCCCGTTCCTTTCCACCCCTTGACTCGTTCTGCCTTCTTCCCCACCCTGTCACCTCCCCACACACCCGGCCCTCTTCCCACTCCCTTTTTCTCCTCCCCTGGTCTCCCCACCCTCGCTCGCAACAGACGATGAGGAGGACGAGTTCCCGTTCGTCCCCACCCTCAATCATAGCTTCGTTCTCCTTGGCACTCCTTGCCTTGTTCCCACCTCTCCTCCACAACCCTCTTCCTCCCATCACTTCCTCTCTTCTCCGAATCCCTTCTCTTCCTCCCCTCCAGGTGACGAGGAGAACGAGTTTGGGCTCAACCAGAGGGCGGGCGCTGCTGATGTGGCGCTGGCAATCATTGCGCAGGCGCATGCTTCCTGGCAACTTCTCACCGAGGACAGCCCGCCGTGTCTCTCCCCCTGGAGCCCCATCAACCTCGTGCTCTCCGCGCGTGCGTTCTTCGCGGCTCATGGCGCAAATACACTGATCAGTACTAAAAAGAGGCGGGATGTACAGGAGCCGAGAAGGGTGGCAACGGCGGTGATGGTGGTGGCACTTGTTGCGAATCTCGATAGGTAGTTGCAGATATATTTAAAGGTGTTATGGCTTTCAGTAATTGAACTTTTGGAAACTTGTGGCTTCCTTGCATGGATTGCAAAATTTGATTGTCATGGTATTTTTGATTTTGTTAGCTACACATGAATGAACACTTGTTTTGTTAACATGTCAGTATCCTCTGCATCTACATTGGTTTCAATGGTCATTATCGAGGCCTAGCAATATACCGTAGTTGTATTCTCCTCCTCCTCGCACATGCTCAACTGTTTTTTTCCCACCGTGTCTGTGTAGTTTGACTTGTGTTTTGCTAAGTCCTGGCTCGCCTTGTCTTCGACTTCCCTTTCCTCGTCACACAGACTTAAGCACGTGTTTTCGTCTGCCACTCGGTTTTAACTTAGCCCTCACTTTTGATTCGGCGCGCTTACGACAGGTGCAGAACGATTCACCGTACACTTCGCGCAAGTGGTGTTTTGTGTTTGTCCGCGCTCGCTCGCTGCTGGGTGCGCACGCTGTACACTTTGCGAGCTTGACGCTTGCAGCCAACAATCAATTGGCTAACGCCGGGGCTAGGGCACTGTACAGTTGGGAAGAATAGCACGTGGCGATTTTTGTTCCTCAGCTTCTGTTTGTTATCTGATTCTCTTTCGGGATTCTGGTTGGCTGTTTGTTTTGTTGAGCTGTATTTATTTATTCGCCCTTGCTACTCTCATTCGTTTGTTCGCACCCGTTATTGCTGCTCAGTATAGACCGTCTGCTGTTTTGCTAACCTAGGTCGTTCGTCACCACCACCCTGCATGTTTTAACGAACTTAAGCACGAAAATTTGGCCCCTGCCCTCTCCACCCTCCTGCTTTTTCGTTCTCTGGGTAGAAGGCGAGCCTCAAGCTCAGCAGCAGTTGCGAAAACAAAACCAGTGGGCATGGGTTTATTTCACGACCTGAAGCACGACTTTGACCCAGCTGTTATTTTTGCGCTTGGGCTGGATTGGCAGCGTGATTGCTTACGACTGTTGGACAATGCAGGTGTGCGCTTTGCGATTCTTTTTTTCTCAATCTCCGAACTCTACAGTTTGTGTTCCCCACCCAATCCCGCTCATCCTGCTTGTTTCTGAGCTGTAAACGACGCTTAGGCAAGGAACTGTTTGAGCTTGAAGCTTGACTCTGCACAAACAGTTGAATGATTCTTTAAGGCGCAATACACCTTTTCGCTTTAAGCGTTTGTCGCGTCCTTCAGTTCAATTTGCGTTTGAAACATTCTGAACGTTCTGAACCGAGAGTTAAAATTAGGGTTTCACATCCAAGGCTGCAAGAGAAGGCGCCCAGGAATCGAACCCAGCTTCACGATAACCCTTCAACCAAATTTCCCAGCTCTCTCACATCATCTTCGGTGCGCCACCTAGTAGTAGTAGTACCACCCTCCACCCACCGCCCGTCCTTTGTAGTAGCACAGCAGCACCAGGTACTAGTAGTAGAACTAGGACTACTAGTTAGCTTTAGTAGAAGCCGTAGAAGCCGTTCGTATCGACCCCCAGGGTTTTCCCGTTTGTAGACTCATATACGCGCGCATGTGGTGTTTGTTTGTTTGTTTGTTTTTTTTTTTTTTCTCTCCTGTCGATATGCATTTACTAGTACTCCTACTACATCGTCGCTTTGTGACAATGTTTTTACCCATGGTTCACTCCGGCGACGTGCAGGTCTCGTCGGAGGTTTTCGGAGCACAGGCGGCGAGCAGGCGGCGGCCAAGCGAGTGCGAGCCGCTTGTCTCGCTGACTCGCGACTACTACGAGTAGTTGTACACATGCAGGTCCTGGGACGGCCTTGGTCCATAGAGTGAGCATCGAATGCGAGAGAAGCGCGAAGGATGTGTCAATCTTGTGGCGTATGTATGACGAAATGCGGCGAATAACTGACGACAGGCGACCGTTACCGACCATGCTCGACCGCTCCTCATAAAACACGCTTCAGTTACAAACGCGTACGCAGCCATTGCATTCATGAAGCTGTCGCAGGTGCTGTCGCAAGCGCACGCGACAGCTGGTTACAATCGCAACAAGTTCCCCGTTTTCGCGCTGCTGTGCCAACTGCTTCACCCTCGTCACTCTCTATGGGTACGCGTTACTGGCCGGGACTCGTTACCGCTACACGCCCCTGTCCTCCATACCTCTCCACATCCTCCCGAGGCCTCGAGAGTCCTCATTTTCCCCAATTTCCTGTCCAACGCATCTCTCCCCCACCACCCGTGTTTCTCTTCTGAGTCGATTTCCTTTTTAATCTCCCACCCCACAGCCCCTGACTTGCTTCCGCCGATCACACTCAGCCTCCACTGAACCCCCCTGTTCCCTTTCCGCTCCCCCCAAGCCAAGTCCCCCCTCTCTCCCCTTCCCCCAACCAGCACCGTCCCCCGGTTTTCCGGGACTCTGGATATTGACGACGCCGCTGACGTGGATCTGCGCAGCAGCAGCGGCGGGGAAGGGCGGGGAGGGGGAAGCGCTGGAGACGTTAAGCTGGCTGGTGCCAGCATTCCTCGCCGCATCATATTTTGAGGCGTATTTTGAGGCGCCTCAAAATGCATCCCCATCCCCATCCCCATCCCACCGTCCCTATCCCTATCAAGGGCACTGGAGACGTTAAGCTGGCTGGTGCCAGCATTCCTCGCCGCATCGCTGCTCACTGCCTTCCTCCTGCTGCTGCTCATCGTTAGCCTCTCTGCCTCCGCCAAGGCAAATCTGCAGGCCAACAGCGTCAACAGCGTCTTCTTCTGTGCCTTCCATGTCAGTCAGCTGCCCTTCTTGCCAGTCAGCTGCCCTTCTTGCCAGTCAGCTGCCCTTCTTGCCAGTCAGCTGCCCTTCTTGCCAGTCAGCTGCCCTTCTTGCCAGTCAGCTGCCCTTCTTGCCAGTCAGCTGCCCTTCTTGCCAGTCAGCTGCCCTTCTTGCCAGTCAGCTGCCCTTCTTGCCAGTCAGGCGCCTTCCATCCCAGTCATTCACCTTCCATCCCAGGCAGCCGATTTCCATGTCACTCACTCAACTTTCATGTCATCCCCCCTCCATCTACCCTCACTTGTCCCTCCCTCGGCCCCCATACTTCCTCCCTCCCCCCCACACAGGCGATTTCAACGTTTTCCAACACAGGGGCAGAACTGCTGAACGATAACCTAATTTTGGGCGCCTCAAAAATAGACCCCTCGGCCCCCATGCTTCCCTCCTCCTTCCCGCACAGGCTATGTCGACGTTTTCCAACACAGGGGCGGCACTGCTGAACGATAACCTAATGGGGTTCGTGAGGGCGCCAGCTCTGGTCATCGTCACGTCGGTCTTCATTCTCATTGGCAATACCATCATGTACCCGCCCACGCTGCGAGCCCTCCTGCTTCTGCTCCGGCACTTCTCACGAGGAGAGAAAAGGGTAAGGTCTGCACCGCACTGCACCCTCTTGAATTTGATCACTCTAAGAGGGAACTTCTGCACCGCACCATACCGGTCTCGTAGATGGCTAATGACTGCACCCTTACCCGTCTTTCCCTTCACATGGTTGCCGTTTTCGCACTAGGTCCCCCACCGCTCTCCAGTCACCTCTCTTCTTGTTCCTGGCTCCCTCCCTCCCTGTGTTGCACTGCACGCACACTTGGCAATCCTTTTTTCTACTGTACCATCCTGCAGGTTGTTTTTGAGGCTGCACATCTTCTCTAAAAAACAACCTCCTTTTTTCTTCTTCTACTGTACCATCCTGCAGTGTGATCCCTCAGAACATCTACTCACACTCTCCTGCATTTGCACACACACTGCGTGCACCCCTGTTGAGGTCATGTGAAAACAGTCTCTTACACCGCAGGGTTCCTATTTTGAAAAATCTATCTGCTACCCCCACACCTACATTGTTGACCCCTTCAGTTTGTCCACACCTACCTACCGCATCTCATCTTACAGGCGCACAAATGCCATTAGCACCTCTTCTGAGGTGACTCAAAAGCAGACTCATTGCAGTCGGCGTTTCTTACATCGAGAAGCGTCTGCAACCCTCTCTCACCCTTTGCCCTGGCCGGCAGTTTGTCTACTCGTACCTTCTTTTGCGCCCGCGCAAGTGCTACACGCACCTCTCTTGAGGTGCTTCAAAAGCAGACTCATAAAACTGGGTTCTTCTTATACTGACAAGTGATTTTCGCCCCCCTCACCCCGTGCCCCTCAGTTCGTCTACTCCTACCTTCTCGTGCACCCACGCAAGTGCTACACGCACCTCTTCCCACCGCGCTCCACCGTGATGCTCGTGCTAACAGTGCTCGCGTTCAATCTCACGGAGTTTGTCTTCTTCTGTGCCACTGACTGGACCTCGCCTGCCATTGACGGCTTCACCAGTGAGTTGCATGTGGACTGCGGGTATGCGAAAAAGACCAACAAACAAGGATTACGTATATATTCCCAGAGGATTTGTCTTCCTGAGGGAACTTTTGCGTCGACTCAAAAGTCACCTAAAGACCAACAAACAAGGATTACGTACGTATTTCCTGAGGATGTGTCTAGGAAGAGAGCAATTCTTCCTTTTGGTGGGGGCTTTGTCTGCCCAAAAAAAAAAACAAAAAACAAAACAAAACCCCACACACAATGTTACTCCACATTCCCCCCACCTCGTGGTTGTGTGTGAGTGCATGCCAGGTGGATATTGGCTGGATATTTCCAATCTGTGAGCACACGCAATGCTTTTTGAGGCACCTCAAACACAGTTTCTCCACTCTTCTCCCTCTCTACCCTTTGTGTTTGTGTGTGTGCGCATGGCAGGCGGGACCAAGGTACTGGCAGGATATTTCCAATCTGTGAGCACACGCAACGCGGGATTCAACGTAATTGCCATCGGCCTCCTGCGCCCCCCCATGCTGCTGCTATACCTGGGCATGATGTGAGTGCATGGTGTGAGAGTGCAAGGGGCATGGTGTGAGAGTGCAAGGGGCATGGTGTGAGAGTGCAAGGGGCATGGTGTGAGAGTGCAAGGGGCATGGTGTGAGAGTGCAAGGGGCATGGTGTGAGAGTGCAAGGGGCATGGTGTGAGAGTGCAAGGGGCATGGTGTGAGAGTGCATGGGACATCACCCTCCCTTACATATCCCAGCCTCCCTTCCAAACTCTGCTCAGGTGTGTGGCCATGAATCCTTTGCACAAAAAAATATCATTACCAACTCTGGCTTCACATGGAGTTTCTGAAAATTCTAAAAAACACCCAGCCCCCATTCCATTCCATTTCATTCCATTCCAATCCAATCTCACAACCGCCCTCCTTTCCATCCCCACAACCACCCACCCTTCCATTCCATTCCCTGCTGCTCTCTCGAACGTGAGCAGGTACGTGGCTGTGTATCCTCTGTACCTGACGAGGCAGACATCGAGGGAGCAGAGGGAGGTGTATGATGACGAGGATATTGGGGTGTTCTGGGAAGACCTGCAGGCAGGTTCTGTTCCAAGTCCCTGCGAATGAGTGAGAACTTGTGGGATGGGGAGGGGTGTGGGGGATGGGGAGGGGTGTAGGGGACGAGGCAGACGTCAAGGGAGCAGAGGGAGGTGTAAGACGATGAGGACATTGGGGTGTTCTGGGAAGACCTGCAGGCAAGTTCTTGAGTGGCTTTTGAGTTGACCCAAAAGTCAAGGGAGCAGAGAGAGGTGTATGACGACGAGGACATTGGGGTGTTCTGGCAAGATCTGCAGGTGAGTTCACATTACATCCCTCTGATGCAACAGCAGTCAGATCCTTCGCTCGGGAAACTGCCACTGCTAAAAATTTTAAAATTGGCGCTTAAGACGTCGAGGGAGCAAAGGGAGGTGTACGATGACGAGGACATTGGGATGTTCTGGGAAGACCTGCATTCAAGTTCTTGAGTGGGTTTTGAGTCGAGATGGTCATTAAAGTCTGTTGTGTGTGTGTGTGTGTGTGTGTGTGTGTGTGTGTGTGTGTGTGTGTGTGTGTGTGTGTGTGTGTGTGTGTGTGTGTATGTGTGTGTGTGTATGTGTCTGTGTTTGTGTCTGTGTCTGTGTCTGCGTGTGTGTGTGTGTGTGTGTGTGGGTGTGTGTGTGTGTGTGTGGGTGGGTGTGTGTGTGTGTGTGTGTGTGTTTTCACTCTTGAGAAACAACTGGGCTTTTCCATCCTTCACCGCCCACCATCCATGCCACTCTCATCCCTCCTCGCTTGTCATTTTGTAACATGGCACATCACACGGCGTGACGCAAGTCATTCAGGGGGGTGTGCTGCTGGATCAGAAGTTATGTAAACAGATAGTGATTCAGCTGGCCTTATACATCACCTGCCCATGTGCCTTCCCTCGACAATCCATGCAGGGGGGGGTGTTGGACCACGGGGTGTTCACCCAGGGCAGAGGGCTGCTCCTGCGCGATTCAGCGATGCTCTTCATGGCTCTGCTGGTGATCTGCCTCATAGAGAGCGCCAACATCACCAACGACATCTCCAACTTCAACATCTTTAACATCGCCTTTGAGCTCATCAGGTGAGTGAGTGCGCCCAGTCCCCACATGCTTGTTCAAACCTTCATCAAGGGACAGCTTAGGCCCTCGATCGCTCTTAATGGCTCTGCTGGTGATCTGCCTTATAGAGAGCGACAACATCACCAACGACATCTCCAACTTCAACATCTTTGAGCAGGTGGGTGTGTGTGTGTGTGTGTGTGTGTGTGTGTGTGTGTGTGTGTGTGTGTGTGTGTGTGTGTGTGTGTGTGTGTGCGCGTGTGCGTGTGCGTGTGTGTGTGCGTGCGTGCGTGCGTGCGTGCGTGGGTGTGTGTGTGTTATTTTTTTTGTCGGTGCCTCAAAACCCGTCTTCTCAGGTGCTTCGCTTGAGAGGCGTCTCCATAGTGGATTTGGCAAATTTAACCTCTTCTAATTTTGACATGCCTTAGTAATGTGCTTCGCCTGGCCACAGCTGCTTTCTGGTGACTCTGTCTGAACATCTCTCAACATACCCATCCTTGCACGTGTTCTTTCCTGGCAGTGGATACGGCAATGTGGGTCTCTCCCTGGGCTACACCTGTCCACCTGAAGCTGGCCCCAGCTGTGTCTCCCCTCCTTACAGCTTCTCTGGTGCGTCCTATCATATAAATTCCCCAAGTGCCTTCTCGGGTGCGTCATATCGTAGAATTTCCCTAAGTGCCTTCTCTGGAATTCCTGGTCCAAGGTGGTTCGTATTTTAGAATCCTCAAAAGCACCCCGCAGGCGCGGGGGAAATTCCTGGAACTAGGAGGTCCTGGCGATATTTTCAATAGGCTCCTGAAAACCATATTATGCCTCTCTCTCTTCTTCCCTCGAATCCCTCTGATTTCTACCCACAGGCGTGTGGGGCCCTTGGTCGAAGCTGGTGCTCGTGCTCATGATGCCGCTCGGAGTTTTTCTCTCAGATGACTCGGAACAAAGTCATGTTTCTCTCTCCTTTCCACGTACCCCTTTTGTTCCCCACAGGCGTGTGGAGCCCTTGGTCCAAGCTGGTGCTCGTGCTCGTGATGCTGCTGGATGTTTTTTCTTCTGGTTGCATGTCAGTAATAGGTCATGTTTCCCTCTCTCCTTTCCCCGTACCCATTTTCTCCCCACCTTGCAGGTGTGTGGAGCCCTTGGTCCAAGCTGGTTCTCGTGCTGGTAATGCTGCTGGGCCGCCACAGAGGCCTGCCTGACAACATCGACGCTGCCATCTCCCTCCCCAACCGCAACCAGTTCATTCCTGAACCACCTGCACTGCCTGCCCCACCTTCTGCATCTGCTGTATCTGCCGTCCCTGTTGTCGCACCTTGCATGCGTTCCACATGTGCACCAAGGTGACTGAAGAGTCGACTCACGAGTCGCTGCCATCCCCATCCCAGGCCTGCACTAGTTCCTCCCTCCCCCGGCCGTACCACCCTCGGCCGCACGTCCCCCTCCCACCCAGGTTGCTCCTCCCTGCCGCTCCTCCCCTGGTCTCTCCTCCCCTAGTCGCCCCTCCCCTAGTCGCCCCTCCCCTAGTCGCCCCTCCCCTAGTCGCCCCTCCCCTAGTCGCCCCTCCCCTAGTCGCCCCTCCCCTAGTCGCCCCTCCCCTAGTCGCCCCTCCCCTAGTCGCCCCTCCCCTAGTCGCCCCTCCCCTAGTCGCCCCTCCCCTAGTCGCCCCTCCCCTAGTCGCCCCTCCCCTAGTCGCCCCTCCCCTAGTCGCCCCTCCCCTAGTCGCCCCTCCCCTACTCCCCTAGTCGCCCCTCCCCTAGTCGCCCCTCCCCTAGTCGCCCCTCCCCTAGTCGCCCCTCCCCTAGTCGCCCCTCCCCTAGTCGCCCCTCCCCTACCGCTACTCACCTCAGCCTCCCCCCCCTTCCCTCCCCCTCTCCCCCGCTCCACCAACCCACTCCACCTTCCACATCTGCTGCATCTGCTCTGCGACCACGTGCTACCAACCAACGAAACGGTGTCTTGCTTCTGGAGGTGGAGAACGGACATAGAAGGTTCCTGCTTTGTTGCTCCAATCGCTTCACTCAGACTTGGGTTCTCCGACTGTCATGCTCCGAGGCGCTGCTTCTTTATCTTCAGTTTCCAATTTCCAATCTACATAATCGAACTAGCTGACTGCTGATTACTTTGGTTAGTCGCTGCTAGTAATCCAAATGCAAATACAGTATCAACACATCTCACATATGATCATACAATGCATGCAGAAAGAACCTCTAGTCCATCCGAGGGTGTGAACCGCTGTGCTTTGAGCTGACTCAAAATGTATCCATTGGTCATGTAGCACATGCGCCACCTCTAGTTTCCCAGTCAATGGTTTCATCATCGCGGCGCCACCCCACTCGCCCTCACCACCTCACACAGCCCGTCAAACCTCTCCCCCCCCCCCCCCCCCCCCCCCCCCCCCCCCCCCCCCCCCCCCCCCCCCCCCCCCCCCCCCCCCCCCCCCCCCCCCCCCCCCCCCCCCCCCCCCCCCCCCCTCTCCGCCCCTCCTTGCCATGCGCTCATGAGGCATGCGCCCTCCCATCCCTCCCTCACTTCCTCTTATTCGCTGATTCCAGCAGCAGTTGCCAGTCTCCCCGGCCGCGCCAGCAAGCCATCGTCACAGCGCCACCCGTTCGCTCTCAGCGCCTCACACAACCCATCAAACCCTCCCGCCATGCGGCCAAAGGAAGCATGCAGCATCTCTAGCTTCTCGAAAGAGGCTAACTTGGCTGCAGTTGCACCCCTCATTTCCTCTTCTCCTCAGGTGCCAGCAGCAGCCACCAATCGCCTCCCTCATTTCGAAGTATTATTGCTTGGAAGATGGTTGACCGAGGCAGTTCAGAGGCGAGAGGTTTGTCCTCTTGTGGATTTTCAGCTTTTTCGTCCAATAGAATTCAAGTTAATCACATGCCATTTTTGTCCCCCTAATGTTCCTAAGAAGTTGCACCCTGCCTTTAAAGGCACAAGTGAGGGATTTTTGGGAGCTGGGGGTGCAATTTTCAGGTGGGGCAGTGCAAGTGAATCCAGCAGAGGCGAATTCGGCTTCACTTGCACCCCTCATTTCCTCTTCTCCTCAGGTGCCAGCAGCAGTCGCCAGTCTCCTGGCCGAGCCAACAAGCCATCGTCACAGCGCCACCCATTCGCTCTCAGCGCCTCACACAACCCATCAAACCCCGCAGCCATGCGGTCATACGAAGCATGCAGCACCTCTAGCTTCCCCAAGGAAGCGAATTCGGCTGCGCGGGCTTGGACGTGGGTGCGCGCTTGGGGTGCGAGAGAGTGGATGGTGGGGCAGAGGACGTGTGGAGAGAGCGTGCGGAGGTAGGCGGCTTGCAGGGCCGCTCTGAGGAAATCCCTTGGGAGTGCCCCCTCCTTCAACACTACCTGCATGGATGGTGGTTGCAGGGGTGAGAAGGCATGGGGATGAGAGGAGAAGGAATAGATGTGAGGGGAAGAGGAGAGCATGCAGCACCTTGATCTGCTTCCCCAAGGAGGAAAACTCGGCGGCGCGGGCTTGGACGTGGGTGCGCGCTTGGGGGGCGAGGGAATGAATGGTGGGGCAGAGGACGTGTGGAGATAGAGTGCGGAGGTAGGCGGCTTGCAGGGCCGCTCTGAGGAAGTCCCGAGGGACTGCTCCTTCCTTCAACACTACCTGCATGGATGGTGGGTAGAAAGAGTGGATGGTGGGGCAGAGGACGTGTGGAGAGAGCGTGCGGAGGTAGGCGGCTTGTAGGGCCGCTCGGAGGAAGTCCTTTGGGAGGGCCCCCTCCTTCAACACTACCTGCAAGAAGAATGGTGAGTGGTTGATAGGGGTGAGAAGGCAAGAGGTGTGGAGAGAGAGTGCGGAGGTAGGCGCCTTGCAGGGCCGCTCGGAAGAAATCCCAAGGAAGAGCTCCTTCTTTCAACACAACCTGCATGGTGAGTGCGTGGGGTGAGGAGGAATGGCGGTGTAACGAGGAGATTATTTAGTGGCAGGTGGATTGGAGGGCAGCCCGGAGGAAATCCCAAGGGAAAGCTCCTTCTTTCAACACAACCTGCATGGTGAGTGCGTGGGGTGAGGAGGCATGGCGATGGAACGAGGAGATCAATCTAGCGGCAGGCAGGTGGATTGGAGGGCAGCCCGGAGGAAGTCCCGAGGGAGAGCTCCTTCTTTCAACAGAACCTGGATGGTGAGTGCGTGGGGTGAGGAGGCATGGCGATGGAACGAGGAGATCAATCTAGCGGCAGGCAGGTGGATTGGAGGGCAGCCCGGAGGAAGTCCCGAGGGAGAGCTCCTTCTTTCAACAGAACCTGGATGGTGGGTGACAGATAGGGGTGGGTGGGAAAGCAAGAGGTGAGAATCTAGATGCAGACAGCTTGCAGTGGGCAGAAAGAGTGGATGGTGGGGCAGAGGGGGTGTAGGGCGAGCGTGCAGAGGTAGGCGGCTTGTAAGGCCGTCGTCACTCATGGTTGGAAGGGCAGCAGCACTAAGAGAAAGTGAGGCGCCTCAAAAAAAGTGGGGCAAGCGTGCAGAGGTAGGCGGCTTGTAAGGCCGCTCGGAGGAAGTCCCGAGGTAGAGCCTCCTCTTTCAACACAGCCTGGTGAGTGACAGGGGTGAGAATGCATGGAGGTAAGAGGAGAAAGAATGGATGTGAGAGGAAGAGGAGAGGTAGTCTGCTTGGAGCGCCGCACAGAGGAAGTCCCGAAGTAGATCCCTCTTCTAGCTCAACTTGCATGGTGCTCTTTCAAGAGAGGGATCTCTTTCGAGACTTCCTCCGTGCGGCGGCGTGACACCCTTAACACAACCTGCATGGTGAGTGTCAGGGGTGGAAGGGACGGGATTGAGACGAGGAGGCACACATGCGGAGGTGGCCGGATTTGTAAGGCCGCCCGGAGGAGGTCCCTAGACAGATCCCTCTTTCAACACAACCTGCAGGCCCCCACACATTCCCGTTTCTCCCACCCACCCACGCACACAGATGCACACAGCATGAACCTGCATCTGCCCTGTACGCTCGTCCTGTCAAAGGAGGTACTTCTCTCCTCGGCATATCCCATCCCAGCCACCGCCTCTGCCTCCTCCCACTGCACATCACAGCACAGCACACCTGTGTGTGCCTCACTCCCATCTCAAAACACAAGCATGCGCAGCAGCACACGCACCTGCATCTGCCCCGTACGCTCGTCCCGCCCAAGCAGGTACTTCTCTCCTCGGAATATATCAGCCATGGTCTCAGCCTCCCGCTCTGTGTGCGCCACTGCGGCCAAGGGCACCCCAAATTCGATCCAGTTCTCACTCCCTGTGCCGGGAAGGGGTGGAGGAGACGCCTGGGAAAGGGGACGCGGAGAAGGGGCGGGGGAGGGGAACGGGTGGAGAGGGGGGAATGAGGGGGTTGAGAGGTCTCTTTTTGCGCCACTGCTGCCAAGGGCACTCCGAACTCGATCCAGTTCTCACTGCCTGTGCCTGGACGAGGAGGGGGAGAGGCCTGGAAAGGGGAGGAGGGGAGGGGGTTCGGGTGGAATGGGAGTAAGGGAGTGTTGAGACGTCTGTCTGTGTGAGCCACTGCTGCCTACTTGCCAAGGGCACTCCGAACTCAATCCAGTTCTCGCTACCTGTGCCGGGGAGAGGTGGAGGGGACGCCTGTGAAGAGAGAAAGGGGAGAAGGAGGGATGAGATCTCTCTGTGTGAGTGAGGCACTGCAGCTAAGTGGCACTTGTAACGCACATGCAATGCACATGCACCATACATACATGCACCACACATACATCACACATGCACCACACCAGAGATACCTTGGGCGAAAATATCGATTTGAGGGGCGGCAGAATGGGTTCCTGGGAGTTGACTTCGATGACACCTGGCACCCTGCCATTGGTCACGTACTCTGCCAGGACAATATCTGGGGAAAGAACAGTGGTAGAAGAGAGCACAGGGGAAGCAGAGAGGACAGCGCAGCGGAGCAAGCTACTTAGACAGAAACAGGTGAAGGAGGGAACTAATTGAGTTGTGCTTACAGCGACCGTCGTGCCTTACAGCTCAAAGACACGACGGTCGCTGCTCTGGCGAATGTTTTTGGGGCGCCTCAAACTTTTTGAGATGATTTTTTAGGCGCCTAAAAAACAATTGTGGTTACAGCTCAAAGACATGACATGACAATAGCTGCTCTGGAAGTAACTATCTGCTTCTGAATCCACTGGATTGAATGCTTGTGAGGCTTCCTGCAAGCAAGTACTTATTTTACCTGCTCTGAAGGGGTTGAGCGTCCTGAGTTGAACGGCCTTGTACGAGCGGTAGTTGCAAAACAGGTGGGCGGCGGACAGCAGGCCATGAGTTGCCCACAGTAGAGGGCCCCGGATGCCCACGTGAGGAGCAACGACGATGCCTAGTGCCATCCCCAATGTCTTGCTCACCATGCCCTGTGCCTCTGCGCGTGCTAGCACCTGAGGGGAGAGGAAGAGGAGGAACAGTCAGAGAAAACACACAAATGGTTGGGTTCGGACAGCAGGGCGTGTGTTGCCCAGAGTAGAGGACCCCTCGTGCCCACGTGAGGAGCAATGGCGATACCCAGGGCCATGCCCAATGTCTTGCTCACCATGCCCTGTGCCTCTGCACGTGCTAGCACCTGTGGGGAGAGGAAGGGGAGGAGCAGAAAGTGAAGTACAATCACATGGGTGGGCCGGACAGCAGGGCATGCGTGGATCAGCCACAGCAGATGACCCCTGGTGCCTACGTGAGGAGCAATGGCGATGCCTAGAGCCATCCCCAATGTCTTGCTCACCATGCCTTGTGCCTCTGCCCGCGCCAAGACCTGGGGGGAGATGAAAAGGAGGAACAGTCAGAGAAAGCACACGAAAGGTTCGGTTCGGACAGCACGGCATGCGTCGCACACAGCAGAGGGCCCCGGGTGCCCACGTGTGGAGCGATGGCGATACCCAGGGCCATCCCCAATGTCTTGCTCACCATGCCCTGTGCCTCTGCACGTGCTAGCACCTGTGGGAGAGGAAGGCAGGGTGGAGTGGAAGGGAGAACACGGGGAGCGTAATGAGAGGAGCACAGCACCGGGCCTATTGTGCCCATGTGTGGGGCGATGGCGAGGCCTCATGCCATTCCAATTATCTTGCCCTGTCTTTGAGGCGCCTCAAAAGTAATGACGCCTACTGCCATCTCCAATGTCTTGCTCGATGCTCACCATGCCCTGTGCGGCTGTGCTTCTGCGCACACACACCAACACTCGGGGTGGTTGGGTTGGGGAAGAAGAAGGGGGATGAAAGGCTGACGAGTTAAGACATGTGACTCGTGAACCTGAAAACCATAAGAGCCGCTTACTTCCATTCCCAGCACACGCCTATAAAAGCACCGATATAAATGTTAGGCCTTTTTTGAAGGCTTTCTGCAATTTGAACCCATACAACCCCAGCCAGGATTATAGAAGGTAAGGAAGTCCAAGGAGGGAGCATATCCCCCCTCCTGGCCCCATTGGCTCCCGAGACAGCGTTGAATCTCACCTCGGCAAAGTTTCTTCTGCCTGCCAGCCCGGCGTAAAACCGGTTTCTCGTGGCACTCTGCACGAGGCTCGAGGCAGAGAACCCCGCCCCGGCAGCGGCGGCCAGCTGAACGAAGTACTGCGGGAAGGTGGCCGTGAGGAGCTCGAGGGAAGCGGAGAGATTCTCAACGAGGTCGGAGTGAGGGAATGTCCCTTCACAGGCCCTCTCACCTGCCCACATCGGCAATCTCACTTGCTCGCATCGGCCCTCTCACCTGCCCGACCTAAGGTGCTGCCTTACCTCGGCGAAATTTCTTCTGCCTGCCAGCCCGGCGTAAAACCGGTTTCTCGTGGCACTCTGCACGAGGCTGGAAGCAGAGAACCCTGCCCCGGCTGCAGCGGCCAGCTGGACGAAGTACTGCGGGAAGGTGGCTGTGAGGAGCTCGAGGGAGGCGGAGAGGTTCTCAACGAGGTCGGAGAGCAGGCGCGAGCGCTTGGGGGAGACGTCGAAATGGCGGCCGAACTGGGAGAGCGTGACTTTTGCAGCGTAGCCCAGCCCGTCTTTTAGGACCCAGTTGACCGCGGCTGCTGCTGGGATGGCGCCCTTGCCCAGCCCCACTGCGTACAGCATTGCCTGGAGAGGCGAGGAGGGAAGAGAAAGTGGGAAGAGAGGGAGGAGAGACGAATGGTTCCAGGTTGAACTGGGAGAGCGTGACTTTGGATTCTTTCAGCACCCAGTTGACCGCGGCTGCTGCTGGGATGGCGCCTTTTCCCAGCCCCACCGCGTACAGCATTGCCTGCAGGAGGGAGAGAGGGAAGAGAGGGAGGGAAGCGAGAGAGGGAAGAGAGAAAGGGAGGGAGAGAGGGAAGAGAGGGAGGGAAGCGAGAGAGGGAAGAGAGAAAGGAAGGGAGAGAGGGAAGAGAGGGAGGGAAGCGAGAGAGGGAAGAGAGAAAGAGAGAGAGAGAGAGGGAAGAGAGGGAGAGAGGGAAGAGAGGGAGGGAAGCGAGAGAGGGAAGAGAGAAAGGGAGGGAGAGAGGGAAGAGAGGGAGGGAAGCGAGAGAGGGAAGAGAGAGGGAAGAGAGGGAGGGAAGCGAGAGAGGGAAGAGAGAAAGGGAGGGAGAGAGGGAAGAGAGGGAGGGAAGCGAGAGAGGGAAGAGAGAAAGGGAGGGAGGGAGAGAGGGAAGAGAGGGGGGAAAGAGAGGGAGAGAGTGTGGTTGTGTGACGTGACTGTGACTGATCCCGTGTCCTACCAGGATAAAGAATGCAGTCGGGCTCCAGGGTGGGCGGCAAGGGCGGCAGCAGCTAGGAAGGAGGAGAAATACGCGCGACGGAACGCGTGGGTGGGCTTCCACGCCCTTGCAGTCGAGACATACGGCTGTCCTTCCCCGGGGGTGATGGCTTACCTGCGGCAGTGCGCGGAGCTAGCGGCCAAGCTGCGATACAACTCAGCACCTACCTCATACGAGGCAGCCAAGCTGCTGACGGAGTACCGCCAGCACTGGAGTGTCTGCCTCCAGGGAGCGCAGGCCAATGCCCTCCGCTCCAAGACCAACGAGGCCTTGGCAGCGGACGAGCTCGGCATGCAGGGCCCCATCGTCCCTCTTAGCGAGGGACAGCTGCACCAGCTGATTGAGCCCCCATTCGGCCAGTAGGGTCGGACAGAGGGGGCCGGGAGTGGGAAGGAGTAGGTGTGATAGGTAGAACTGTGGTCTGGTTGTTTGTCTTACTTGTGTTTGTACCTTCCTTGTAACACCCACCGTGATTAATGCAAGGACCGTTCGAGGGGGAAGGGATGCAACATGTTGAACTGGGAGGGCGTGACCTCGGCTGCATAGCCCAGCCCGTCCTTTACCACGAAGGACCGTTTGAGAGAAGAGAGAGAAGGAAGGGCTTCAGGTGAGGAAAAGGACGGAGAGAGGAGGGCAGGGGAGATGAAGGTTCTTAGACATAGCAAACAGACCTCAATTGAAGGAGCCTGCAACATAGAAACGCCTCTCACCTGCGTTGTAAGCACGTGGTTCATTTCGCTCGCCACTGTTTGCCGCATGCGCCACACTGTATACTCCATATAGTCAGGAGTCACACTATCGGGATAACCCTCTGGTAACATCCATCGAACCACCGCCGCTTTCACTCCCCTCACCACCCGCGCAACCATATCCACCCCTCTGCTCCGCTCATCCTCCTCCCCCGCTAAAACCCTACCCCCTGCGGCCTTCCCGTTGCCATTCCCCGTGCTTGTAACGATCCCCTTTACAACGCGTCCGTGTTCCTCCTCGTACGCGTTAGCAGCTTCCTCGCCTTCCAATTCAACTTCCACCCTTAGCTGGCCCTTCCCCCTATTGCTGCTTGCGCTGCTGCTGCTGTTGAGGCCAATGACCAACGAGGAGTGATACTAACGAGAGGCGAGGAGAAACCCCCCCACGGCCCCCCCACGGCCCCCCCAAGGCCCCCCCAAGGCCTGGTCCTGGTCCTGGTCCTGGTCCTGGTCCTGGTCCTGGTCCTGGTCCTGGTCCTGGTCCTGGTCCTGGTCCTGGCCCTGGTCCTGGTCCTGGTCCTGGTCCTGGTCCTGGTCCTGGTCCTGGTCCTGGTCCTGGTCCTGGTCCTGGTCCTGGTCCTGGTCCTGGTCCTGGTCCTGGTCCTGGTCCTGGTCCTGTTCCAGGTCCTGGTCCTGTTGTCAGAAGGCGGCTGGAACAGTAACGAGACAGCAGGAACAGTAGCCGGGCGGCAGTAACAGTAACAAGGTGGCCGTAGCAGTAACTGGGCGGCTGGAACAGTCATCCCCGTCTCTGTGCTTCTGTTTCTGTATCTTGCAATCTGTCTCCGTTTGTTTCAGTAGTTTCTGTTCTCCCCTCTCACTGCTTCTGTTTCTGTTTCTGTGCTTCTGTTAACCCCTGTCACTCTTCTTCTGTTTCTGTTTGTCCTGCGTTTCTGCCTCTGTTTCTCAGTCGCTGATCACAGGTGTGGCCTTGTGTCTCTCTCTGTTTGTCTCTGTCTCTAGTTGTCTCCATGCTCCCCATCCCATCCCTGGGCCAAGCCCACACCGACCCGACCTGGCCACGACAGGGCCATCCCGGCTCATATAGTGAACAAGAACAAGCACACGCAGTTTTCAAACCCTTAACTGTACTAATTTAGAATCCTATTTCTTCATTATGTCTTCAAAAAAGGCGCCCCGCACGAGAGAATGCCACCTGCACAGGTGGGGTGCGGTGGGGTGGGGTGGGGAGGAGGGACGGATGGCGGGATGGCCGGTGCGAGGGGATGGCGTGTGGCGGGTTCTGAAATTGTGGCAGAGGTGGCAAGTGGTGGGGAGGAGAGGAGGTGAACAGAGGGGAGGAGAGGAGGTGAACAGAGGGGAGGAGAGGAGGTGAACAGAGGGGAGGAGAGGAGGTGAACAGAGGGGAGGAGAGGAGGTGAACAGAGGGGAGGAGAGGAGGTGAACAGAGGGGAGGAGAGGAGGTGAACAGAGGGGAGGAGAGGAGGTGAACAGAGGAACAGAGAGGCGGTGAACAGAGGGGAGGATAGGAGGTGAACAGAGGGGAGGAGAGGAGGTGAACAGAGGGGAGGATAGGAGGTGAACAGAGGGGAGGAGAGGAGTTGAACAGACCACGGGAGGAGAGGAGGTGAAGAGAGGGGAGGAGAGGAGGTGAAGAGAGGGGAGGAGAGGAGTTGAACAGAGGGGAGGAGAGGAGGTGAACAGAGGAGAGGAGAGGTTTTAGCATAGGGGTTGGCGGGATGGCAAGTGTGGTGTGAGTGAGGGACTGGCGGGATGGCACGCATGTGTTGTGAGGAGTGCAGAGCAAGGGAGGGAACGACGAGTGCAGAGCAAGGGAGGGAACGACGAGTGCAGAGCAAGGGAGGGAACGACGAGTGCAGAGCAAGGGAGGGAACGACGAGTGCAGAGCAAGGGAGGGAACGACGAGTGCAGAGCAAGGGAGGGAACGACGAGTGCAGAGCAAGGGAGGGAACGACGAGTGCAGAGCAAGGGAGGGAACGACGAGTGCAGAGCAAGGGAGGGAACGACGAGTGCAGAGCAAGGGAGGGAACGACGAGTGCAGAGGTGCGGGAAGGTGAATAGAGGGGAGCAGTGGGGGGAGGTGAATACAAGGGATAAGTGGGGGATGGTGCGCGTGGGGAGCGGAGGGTGAATAGTAAGGGATGGGGAAACCGTGGGGTGAACAGTGGGGGATGGGGAGGAAGGGCGGAATGAGGAGAAAGGGCGCAACGAGGAGAAAGGGCGCAACGAGGAGAAAGGGCGGAATGAGGAGAAAGGGCGGAATGAGGAGAAAGGGCGGAATGAGGAGAAAGGGCGGAACGAGGAGAAAGGGCGGAACGAGGAGAAAGGGCGGAACGAGGAGAAAGGGCGGAACGAGGAGAAAGGGCGGAACGAGGAGAAAGGGCGGAACGAGGAGAAAGGGCGGAACGAGGAGAAAGGGCGGAACGAGGAGAAAGGGCGGAACGTGGAGAAAGGGCGGAACGAGGAGAAAGGGCGGAACGAGGAGAAAGGGCGGAACGTGGAGAAAGGACGGAACGAGGAGAAAGGGCGGAACGAGGAGAAAGGGCGGAACGAGGAGAAAGGGCGGGACGAGGAGAAAGGGCGGAACGAGGAGAAAGGGCGGAACGAGGAGAAAGGGCGGAACGAGGAGAAAGGGCGAAACGAGGAGAAAGGGCGGAACGAGGAGAAAGGGCGGAACGAGGAAGCAATCTTCTCACCCTTATCCAAGTTCCCTAGCATGACGGAGTGGAGGCGCGGGAAGGGGAGGGGATTAGGTTGACCGCGGCGGGAAACGGCAGCGCTCGGTTCTCTCCCGCCATCCGCGAGTACTGCTCCTGTACTGTACCCACTTTAGATCCGCTTCAGTCTGCTCCATCCGCGCTGTCTACTCCTGTACCTGCGGGGGCAAATGAACAAGCAGATTCACATGAATACGCACACGTGGAACGAGTACACTTGTGTATGTACATTCACACGACCACGCACGCATGCTACCCTTTGGCAGCTGCAGCAGCTCATCTTTCAGTCGTCTCACTCACTTGCCCAGCCACCTCTGCTTGAAAAAACTCTTACCTGCCCGCCCACCTCTTCTTCAAGCTCTCACCTGCGCGGCCACCCCTGCTTCAAACTCTCACCTGCCCGGCAATCTCTACCCCAAAATTCGGTGGGAAACCGCGGGAAGGAAAACCTTGGGAAACCAACCATGGGAAAGAGCGGGAAACGGCGGGAAAAGGCAGGAAAGGGCGGGATTCAGCGCGGAAAGGGCACTAAGCCGTGCCTGGGGCGCGGAAAAAAAACAACTTGCCAAGCCTGCAGCGCGGAAAGGGCACTTGGCCGTGCCTGGGGCGCGGAAAAAAAAACAACTTGCCAAGCCTGCAGCGCGGAAAGGGCACTAAGCCGTGCCTGGGGCGCGGAAAAAAAAACAACTTGCCAAGCCTGCAGTGCGGAAAGGGCACTTCGCCGCGCCTGCAGCGCGGAAAAGGGCAAGTCGCCGCGCCTGCAGCGCGGAAAGGCACTTGGCCGCGCCTCTCACCAGGCAGTGCCGAGCCTCTCACCAGGCAGTGCCGAGCCTCTCACCAGGCAGTGCCGAGCCTCTCACCAGGCAGTGCCGAGCCTCTCACCAGGCAGTGCCGAGCCTCTCACCAGGCAGTGCCGAGCCTCTCATGGCGCGCGATCCGCCGCCTGGTGATGCTCGCGTGCTGGTGGGAGAGGTAGGTGAGTGCGTTTCCTTCGTCATAGGAACATTTGCCGTCAGATCAGTGCACAACTCGTGTCGCGTCGCTGTCAGAGATAAAACAAAGAAAGAAGAACATATTTACAAAAATAATTGAACAATTTGACGCAAACCTGAATACAAAAGGAGGCAGTGAAGCAGGCGCCTGGTGAGAGTGTTGAGCGAGAAACGGCGAAAAAAGGCACGAGGCAGAAAATGGAGAGGAGAGGAAGGGCCGGGGAAGAGGGAAACTTTAGCTAGAAATATAATCTCACGTTAATATAACTATAAAACGCAACTAAAAAACAGGAGCTTCTGCTGGAACGCGGATTAACTCTCACAGGGGCCTAAGCTGCTGCGCCCACCATTCCGTCAGCTGCTTCCGCGGCGCGACATCGGCCATCTGCTGCCGCGGCGCGACATTCCGCCATCTGCTGCGCGCGCCAATTCGCCTGCTGCTGCGCGCGCCATTCCCCCTGCTGTGGCGCGCGCCATCCCCCCTGCTGCTGAACGATCTATGACTAGGAGAACAAATAAAAAGAAAACTAAGAGAATGCTACTAAGAGCATTAAGAGAATGCTACTACTAGTGAGACCATCCAGTGAGAGGGACGCTGGGAGAAGAAGAGCAGTCGAGAGAAAGAGGAGTCAAGGAGGAGGTAACAATGGGAGAGTTGAAGGACTCGCGTGCTGGTGGGAGAGGTAGGTGAGTGCTTTTCCTTCACCAGATCAGCACCACTCGTGTCGCGTCGCTGTCAAAGAGAAAACAAATAAAAAAGAACATCAGCACCACTCGTGTCGCGACCGTTCGACGGTGAGGTCCGACCGAGCCACCTCGCGCGCACGCGCGTTCGCTCTGCGCAGCGACCCGTGTGACATGACATAGCATGCTGCAAACTAAACTGACATCAAACGCGATATTCGCAAATGAGAAAAAGCGCGGGACGGCTAAAGGAGAGCGCTGCGCAGGGTGCAGCGCGAGGCGAGCAGGACGACGACTATCTAACGACCGCGAGGCGCACGAACAAACACGCGACTGGGACCTTAGCGAATGACACAGCAGCGGATTAGGTGGCTGTGACTGTAATTCTAGCTGAATAGTCGGTACGAGGGAATAAGGTTCGAGTAGACCTGATTTGGTTTGGGCTGAGGCAGCAGCGGGATGGATAGACGGGTAGCTAGCCAACCCCTCCCACACAATGTTGTGTAACATTTCGGGCAGTAGAAATAAAAGTAGAAGCATCTCGTAACTAAAATGGAAAAATCAGACCACTCCTACTACTACAGTGAAGTCGTTTCGATTTTACTGTTGAATGGAAGGGTTCCAACTCGGACCTGAACACCCACCTCCTCAACCCAAAAAACAGCCCCCAATGGGGTTTCTAAGCCTGGTCCGCAACAGGTCGCGGTGGAACAGGTCAAGAAACTCAAAGACAGCCCCCAATGGGGTTTCAGAGCCTGCTCCAGCGCACACGTCGCGGTGGAACAGGTCAAGAATGATACTATAACAGTGAGGTTCCAATTTACAGCGCGGTTCGGACGAATCTTGATTTGCAAAGTGTATATATTGCTGTTGCTAACCAACTAGCATCAACTATGATTGCGTTTCAAATGTGAATTGTTCAATAAACATGCGAGAAGATAAACACATGACACACATAATGGCATTACAAGTTGCGTAAGCATAAATCACAATCAAATATGTGTAATATTGGTACGTTATTTTTATTTCCTGCTTTCATGCCTAATTCATACTTCTCTTGATGTAATGCAAGCATGATTGCTAGTGCTCGTACTCTTAATGCCTGTAAACTATCTACTTCAACGTCAATGCGTTGGGGTGGCTTTGAGCGGTGCCGAGTGTTGCCGAGAGGTTTAGAGTGGTAGTGAGCGGTGCTGATACGTCCGATGCGGTCGTTGATGGTGCTGAACGCTCTTGGGTGGTGACGAGTGGTGATGAGTAGCTCAGAGAGGTGTCGGGTGGTGATGAGCGGCTCCGAGCGGTGCCGAATGCTGCAGAGCGGTACAGAGCGGCAGTGAGCGGTGCTGGGTTGTTGTGTGCAGTGATTGGTGGTGTTGAGCACTTGTGAGTGGTGATGAGCGGTGAAGGACAGTGACGAGCCGCTCAAAGAGGTGCCGAGTGGTGATGAGCGGATCTGAGCAGTGCCGAGTTCTGCAGCGCGGTTCAGAACGGCAGTGAGAGGTGTTGGGCCTTTGTGTGCGGTCATTGGTGGTGGTGAGTGCCCGTGAGTGGTGATGAGTGGCTCAGAGAGGTGTCGAGTGGTGATGAGCGGCCCTGAGCGGTGCCGAGTGCTGCAGTGCGGTTCAGAGCAGCAGTGAGAGGTGTTGGGCCTTTGTGAGCAGTCATTAGTGATGCCGAGCGCCCGTGAGTGGTGACACCAACAGCAGCAGTAGGAAACACAAGCACAAGCAGCAAACGGTAGTTGTGAGCATCTGCATCACCATCGAGCGGCAACAGAATATGCTCAGCAGCAGTAGGAAACACCAGCATGAGCACAAGCAGCAAACGGTAGTAGTGAGCATCCGCTTCACCATCGAGCAGCAACAGAAAGTGCTCAGCAACAGTAGGAAACACCAGCACAAGCACAAAGCAGCGAATGGTAGTAGTGAGCATGCGCCTCACCATCAAGCAGCAACAAAAAATATTCGGCAGCAGTAGGAATGACCAGCACGAGCACAAGAAGCGAAAGGTAGTAGTGGGCATTGGCCTCACCATCGAGCAGCAACAGGAAAATATTCGGCAGCAGTAGGAAACACCAGCACGAGGACTAGCGCGAACGGTAGTATTGAGCATCCGTCTCACCATCGAGCAGCAACAGAAAATATTCGGCAGCAGTAGGAAACACCAGCATGAGGACTAGCGCGAACGGTACTATTGAGCATCCGTCTCACCATCGAGCAGCAACAGAAAATATTCGGCAGCAATAGGAAACACCAGCACGTGCACAAGCAGCGAACGGTAGTAGTGAGCATCCGCCTCACCATCGAGCAGCAACAGAAAATATTTGACGGCAGTAGGAAACACCAGCACGGGCACAAGCAGGAACGGTAGTAGTGACCATCCGTCTCGCCATCGAGCAGCAACAGAAAGTATTCGGCAGCAGTAGGAAACACCAGTTAAGAACAGTTTCACCGTTCTCAACCGAGAGAACATATTAGGGTTAACCAACCAAGGCTGCAAGGAAACGCGCCCCGAACTGACCCAGCTTCACCACAACACTTCCGCCAAAGCACCCGCTCGCATCACCTTCATTGCGCCACCTAGTACCACCCCTCGCCAGCCCGTCGTAGTAGCAGTAGTAGCACCAGCAAATTCGTACTGTAGGGTGTATGTATTTCGCACCAGTCTTCTTTGCTACTCTGCAAAGCCGCTCGGTGTTTGGCTAAACAAGTTTTGTTTTGCCACTCTCATTGCCTTTTAAGAGAAATTACGCTCAAAAACTGCGGGACTTTTAGATATCTGTTTAATCCGTTCCCCTCGCGCTTACGTCAGGTCAACAAAGCAGATTCGTGAATCGGGACCTCACCCACCCACCCGCACACCAGCACGAGCACAAGCAACGAACGGTAGTAGTGAGCATTCGCGTCACGATCGAGCAGCAACGGGAGGAGAAGGAGGACGACGAGGACCAGGACGAGGAGCAGGAGCAGGAGGAGGAGGAGAAGGAGGAGGACGAGGAGGAGGAGGAGGAGGAGGAGGAGGAGGAGGAGGAGGAGGAGGAGGAGGAGGAGGAGGAGGAGGAGGAGGAGGAGGAGGAGGAGGAGGAGGAGGAGGAGGGGGACGACGACGACGACGACGAGAAGGAAGACGACGACGATGAGGAGGAAGACGACGAAGAAAAGGAGGGCGAGGAGTAGGAGTAGGAGGAGGAAGACGAGAAAGAGAAGGAGGAGGAGCAGGAGGAAGACGAGGAGTAGGAGGACGACGACAAGGAGGTTCACAACGAGGAGGAGGAAGACGAGGAGGAAGAGAACGAGCAGGAGCATGAGGAGGCGGAGGAGGAGGAGGAGGAGGAGGAGGAGGAGGAGGAGGAGGAGGAGGAGGAGGAGGAGGAGGAGGAGGAGGAGGAGGAGGAGGAGGAGGAGGACGAGGACGAGGACGAGGACGAGGAGGAGGAGGAGGAGGAGGAGGAGGAGGAGGAGGAGGAGGAGGAGGAGGAGGAGGAGGAGGAGGAGGAGGAGGAGGAGGAGGAAAAGGAGGAGGAGGAGGAGGAGGAGGAGGAGGAGGAGGAGGAGGAGGAGGAGGAGGAGGAGGAAACACCAGCATGAGCACAAGCAGCGGACAGTAGTAGTGAGCATTTGCCTCACCATCGAGCAAAACCGGAAAATGTACAGCGGAAGTAGAAAACACCAGCACGAGCACAAGCAACGAACGGTAGTTGTCAGCATCCTCCTCACCATAGTGCAGCAACCAAAAATATTCTGCAGCGGTAGGAAACATTAGCACGAGCACAAGCAGCGAACGTAGTAGTGAGCATCCGCCTCACCATCGAGCACCAACATAAAATATTCAACAGCAGTAGGAAACTCCAGCACGAGCACAAGCAGCGAACGGTAGATGTGAGCATCCGCCTCACCATCGAGCAGCAACAGAAAACATTCAGCAGCGGTAGGAAACACCAGCACGAGCACAAGCAACGAACGGTAGTTGTCAGCATCCGCCTCACCATCGAGCAGCGACGAAAATTATTCAGGAGCAGTAGGAAACACCAGCACGAGCACAAGCAGCGAACGGTAGTAGTGAGCATCCGCCTCACCATCAAGGAGCAACGGAAAATGTTCAACAACAGTAGGACACCAGCACGAGCACAAGCAACGAACGGTAGTAGTGAGCATTCGCCTCACGATTGAGCAGCAACGGGAGGAGAAGGAGGACGACGACGACGAGGACCAGGACGAGGAGCAGGAGCAGGAGGAGGTGGAGAAGGAGGAGGAGGAGGAGGAGGAGGAGGAGGAGGAGGAGGAGGAGGAGGAGGAGGAGGAGGAGGAGGAGGAGGAGGATGACGACGACGACGACGACGACGAGAAGGAGGACGACGACGATGCGGAGGAAGACGACGGGGAGGAAGAGGGCGAGGAGTAGGAGTAGGAGGAGGAAGACGAGAAGGAGGACGAAGAGGAGCAGGAGGAACACGAGGAGTAGGAGGACGACGAGGAGGAGGTTGCCAACGAGGAGGAGGAAGACGAGGAGGAAGAGGACAAGGGGTAGGGCAACAACGAGGAGGAGGAGGACGTCGAGCAGGTGAACGGGGAGGAGGAGGACGACGACATGGACAAGGACGAGGAGCAGGAGGAGGAGCAGGAGTAGGAGGAGGATGAGGAGGAGGAGGAGGAGGAGGAGGAGGAGGAGGAGGAGGAGGAGGAGGAGGAGGAGGAGGAGGAGGAGGTGGTGGAGAAGGAGGAGGAGGAGGAGGAGGAGGAGGAGCAGGAGGAGCAAGAGGAGGAGGAGGAGGAGGAGGAGGAGGAGGAGGAGGAGGAGGAGGAGGAGGAGGAGGAGGAGGAGGAGGAGGAGAACGAGGAGGAGAATTTCAAGGAGGAGCAGGACGAGGAGGAGAAGGAAGGGGACGAGGAGGAGCAAGACGAGGAGGAAGAGGACGAGGAGAACGATGAGGAGTAGGAGGAGGATGAGGAGGACGAGGAGTGGGAGGACGACGAGACGGAGAACGATGAGGAGGAAGAGGACGAGGGGAGGGAGCTCGACGAGGATGATGAGCACGAGGAGGAAGAGGAGGAGGAGGAGGAGGAGGAGGAGGAGGAGGAGGAGGAGGAGGAGGAGGAGGAGGAGGAGGAGGAGGAGGAGGAGGAGGAGGAGGAGGAGGAGGAGGAAACACCAGCATGAGCACAAGCAGCAAACAGTAGTACTGAGCATCCGCCTCACAATCGAGCAGGAACATAAAATACTCAGCAGCAGTAGGAAACACCATCACGAGCACAAGCAGCGGAATGTAGTAGTGAGCATTTGCCTCACCATCGAGCAGCAACAGAAAATATTCAGCAGTAGTACGAAACACCAGCACGAGCACAAGCAGCGGACAGTAGTAGTGAGCATTTGCCTCACCATAGAGCAGAAACGGAAAATGTACAGCGGAAGTAGAAAACACCAGCACGAGCACAAGCAGCGAACGGTAGTTGTCAGCATCCTCCTCACCATCCTCCTCGCTTGCCACGTTGACCAGCCCGAGGTCACTGTTGGCGGCACCCTTTGACTGTAATGATTACACAGAGCTGGATGACAGATGGATGTCGGATGGATGTCAGGTCACTTGGGACACAATGCCGGCCTTAAAAATCTCACCTACCACCCTGACATCCGTCGACATCCATCGACATCCGTCTACATGTCACTTTGGACACTCCCTTAGGTGCAATTGTGTTGTCAAACCAATCAAGCGTTTGCAGCTAAAAAACGCCGAGGCTAGGATACTGTACGGGGCGGCAAATCGGAGTTTTGGGCTGCTTTGCATGTCGTTCGTTCTTTGGGTGTGCAACAAGCGAGCGAATTGGCTCGCTCAAGACGGGTAGGACAGAATCAGACGTGGCAAATATATCTCTCCTCACCCTCAACTCACCTTGCGCAAAACGACTGTTAGTCAGTGGAATTTTGTCGGGGAAAACTTGCTCATCTATTCTTCCCACCGTCTTCGCAGTGTTCTTTTGGTGTTTGGCTAAGACCTCGCTCGTTTTTCTCTTCGACTCCCCTTATGTTGTGACACAAAGTGATGCAAGTGGTTTTTGTCTGCCTATCATTTCTTTTCTTTCTCTGCCCTCAGATTTGATTTGGCACGCTCACGAGAGGTAGGCAGATTCTCTTTCTGCAGTTTCTAACTGTACGTATCACCCCTCCTCGTGCAACTTACTCCCTTCCTCGGTAGTGAAGATGATTGCTCAGTCGGCCCTCGCGCTACCATATTTTGTTTTAGCCGGGGGAGGGGTGGGGTTGGCGCACGGAGGTGGAAGAGGGGGAGGGGGGGCAGCAGGGGGAGGGGTGGGTGGTTCTGGAGGAGCAAAGCTGTCTGCTCTGCTTGCTGACCTGCCTGCCGTGACAGCGTGAGTTTGTGACTTGTGATGCAAGTCCCCCATCACTGAGGCATCTCAATAGCCCTCTCCCACAAAACAAAACCGTTTGAAATGCTAAGCCCTCGTTCCCTTCTCACCTCCTACCCTTCCTTCTTGCCTTGTACCCTTTCTTCTGCCCCTCCCTGTCTCTCTCCCATCCCCCTAGACCCATATACCTCGCTCATTGCACCAAGTCCCTCATTCCAACAGGTTCATCCTGCCTCTCCTACCTTTCCTTCCTCTCAATCTCTCCTTCCCTTCTGTCCCGTTCTTCCTCTTCCCACCCCTCTTTCTTCCCCTCAACAAATGGTATTTTTTAACTCCGTTGCTTCCCGCTTCCTCCCCCAAATCGTATTCCTCCTCCTCCGCTGCTTCCCGCTTCCTCCTCCTCCTCTTCCTCCTCCTCCTCCTCCTCCTCCTCCTCCTCCTCCTCCTCCTCCTCCTCCTCCTCCTCCTCCTGCTTATCTCCCCGCCAGCCCGCTTTCTACAGACGACGGGGAGAACAAGCTTGTTCAGAACCAGAAACCCGTATCCTCTCCACTCATAGCCTCCTTCTCCCATACCCCCTACCCTCTCATCCTGTCACTGGCCCTCTCCTCCCCTTCCCTCCCCCCCTCTCCCCTCACTCCCTTACCCCCAGCCGTTGTGCCACCTAGCCTCGTTCTCCCATCCCCCCTACCCTCTCATCCTGTCACTGCCCCTCTCCTCCCCTTCCCTCCCGTCCCCTCCCTCACTCCCTCCCCGCGGCCTTTGTGCCACCTGTCGCCCTGCCTCTGCGGGTTCCTTCCCACAGCCTGGATTGCTGCGGGCGACGAGGAGAGGAGAACGAGTGTGAGCTCAATTAGAGAGCCTCTTCCCTCTTTACCCCTTTCATTGCTCTCCCTTCCGCGTTGTCTCCCCACCACCTCGCTCGCTGCATGCGACGAGGAGAAGGAGATTGGGCTAAATCAGAGAACCAATTCTATCGTTACCCCTTAAAAGGCTTCTTCCTCTTCCTTTCCTCCACTTTACATTTCCTGTCCCCTTTCCCCTCCCTCCTGCCCCACCCGTTGTCTCCCCATCCCCATCGCCTCGCTTGATGCATGCTATGAGGAGAGGAGAACGAGATTGGGCTCAACCCCGTTCCTTTCCACCCCTTGACTCGTTCTGCCTTCTTCCCCACCCTGTCACCTCCCCACACACCCGGCCCTCTTCCCACTCCCTTTTTCTCCTCCCCTGGTCTCCCCACCCTCGCTCGCAACAGACGATGAGGAGGACGAGTTCCCGTTCGTCCCCACCCTCAATCATAGCTTCGTTCTCCTTGGCACTCCTTGCCTTGTTCCCACCTCTCCTCCACAACCCTCTTCCTCCCATCACTTCCTCTCTTCTCCGAATCCCTTCTCTTCCTCCCCTCCAGGTGACGAGGAGAACGAGTTTGGGCTCAACCAGAGGGCGGGCGCTGCTGATGTGGCGCTGGCAATCATTGCGCAGGCGCATGCTTCCTGGCAGCTTCTCACCGAGGACAGCCCGCCGTGTCTCTCCCCCTGGAGCCCCATCAACCTCGTGCTCTCCGCGCGTGCGTTCTTCGCGGCTCATGGCGCAAATACACTGATCAGTACTAAAAAGAGGCGGGATGTACAGGAGCCGAGAAGGGTGGCAACGGCGGTGATGGTGGTGGCACTTGTTGCGAATCTCGATAGGTAGTTGCAGATATATTTAAAGGTGTTATGGCTTTCAGTAATTGAACTTTTGGAAACTTGGGGCTTCCTTGCATGGATTGCAAAATTTGATTGTCATGGTATTTTTGATTTTGTTAGCTACACATGAATGAACACTTGTTTTGTTAACATGTCAGTATCCTCTGCATCTACATTGGTTTCAATGGTCATTATCGAGGCCTAGCAATATACCGTAGTTGTATTCTCCTCCTCCTCGCACATGCTCAACTGTTTTTTTCCCACCGTGTCTGTGTAGTTTGACTTGTGTTTTGCTAAGTCCTGGCTCGCCTTGTCTTCGACTTCCCTTTCCTCGTCACACAGACTTAAGCACGTGTTTTCGTCTGCCACTCGGTTTTAACTTAGCCCTCACTTTTGATTCGGCGCGCTTACGACAGGTGCAGAACGATTCACCGTACACTTCGCGCAAGTGGTGTTTTGTGTTTGTCCGCGCTCGCTCGCTGCTGGGTGCGCACGATGTACACTTTGCGAGCTTGACGCTTGCAGCCAACAATCAATTGGCTAACGCCGGGGCTAGGGCACTATACAGTTGGGAAGAATAGCACGTGGCGATTTTTGTTCCTCAGCTTCTGTTTGTTATCTGATTCTCTTTCGGGATTCTGGTTGGTTGTTTGTTTTGTTGAGCTGTATTTACTTATTCGCCCTTGCTACTCTCATTCGTTTGTTCGCACCCGTTATTGCTGCTCAGTATAGACCGTCTGCTATTTTGCTAACCTAGGTCGTTCGTCACCACCACCCTGCATGTTTTAACGAACTTAAGCACGAAAATTTGGCCCCTGCCCTCTCCACCCTCCTGCTTTTTCGTTCTCTGGGTAGAAGGCGAGCCTCAAGCTCAGCAGCAGTTGCGAAAACAAAACCAGTGGGCATGGGTTTATTTCACGACCTGAAGCACGACTTTGACCCAGCTGTTATTTTTGCGCTAGGGCTGGATTGGCAGCGTGATAGCTTACGACTGTTGGACAATGCAGGTGTGCGCTTTGCGATTCTTTTTTTCTCAATCTCCGAACTCTACAGTTTGTGTTCCCCACCCAATCCCGCTCATCCTGCTTGTTTCTGAGCTGTACACGACGGTTAGGCAAGGAACTGTTTGAGCTTGAAGCTTGACTCTGCACAAACAGTTGAATGATTCTTTAAGGCGCAATACACCTTTTCGCTTTAAGCGTTTGTCGCGTCCTTCAGTTCAATTTGCGTTTGAAACATTCTGAACGTTCTGAACCGAGAGTTAAAATTAGGGTTTCACATCCAAGGCTGCAAGAGAAGGCGCCCAGGAATCGAACCCAGCTTCACGATAACCCTTCAACCAAATTTCCCAGCTCTCTCACATCATCTTCGGTGCGCCACCTAGTAGTAGTAGTACCACCCTCCACCCACCGCCCGTCCTTTGTAGTAGCACAGCAGCACCAGGTACTAGTAGTAGAACTAGGACTACTAGTTAGCTTTAGTAGAAGCCGTAGAAGCCGTTCGTATCGACCCCCAGGGTTTTCCCGTTTGTAGACTCATATACGCGCGCATGTGGTGTTTGTTTGTTTGTTTTTTTTTTTTTTTTCTCTCCTGTCGATATGCATTTACTAGTACTCCTACTACATCGTCGCTTTGTGACAATGTTTTTACCCATGGTTCACTCCGGCGACGTGCAGGTCTCGTCGGAGGTTTTCGGAGCACAGGCGGCGAGCAGGCGGCGGCCAAGCGAGTGCGAGCCGCTTGTCTCGCTGACTCGCGACTACTACGAGTAGTTGTACACATGCAGGTCCTGGGACGGCCTTGGTCCATAGAGTGAGCATCGAATGCGAGAGAAGCGCGAAGGATGTGTCAATCTTGTGGCGTATGTATGACGAAATGCGGCGAATAACTGACGACAGGCGACCGTTACCGACCATGCTCGACCGCTCCTCATAAAACACGCTTCAGTTACAAACGCGTACGCAGCCATTGCATTCATGAAGCTGTCGCAGGTGCTGTCGCAAGCGCACGCGACAGCTGGTTACAATCGCAACAAGTTCCCCGTTTTCGCGCTGCTGTGCCAACTGCTTCACCCTCGTCACTCTCTATGGGTACGCGTTACTGGCCGGGACTCGTTACCGCTACACGCCCCTGTCCTCCATACCTCTCCACATCCTCCCGAGGCCTCGAGATTCCTCATTTTCCCCAATTTCCTGTCCAACGCATCTCTCCCCCACCACCCGTGTTTCTCTTCTGAGTCGATTTCCTTTTTAATCTCCCACCCCACAGCCCCTGACTTGCTTCCGCCGATCACACTCAGCCTCCACTGAACCCCCCTGTTCCCTTTCCGCTCCCCCCAAGCCAAGTCCCCCCTCTCTCCCCTTCCCCCAACCAGCACCGTCCCCCGGTTTTCCGGGACTCTGGATATTGACGACGCCGCTGACGTGGATCTGCGCAGCAGCAGCGGCGGGGAAGGGCGGGGAGGGGGAAGCGCTGGAGACGTTAAGCTGGCTGGTGCCAGCATTCCTCGCCGCATCATATTTTGAGGCGTATTTTGAGGCGCCTCAAAATGCATCCCCATCCCCATCCCCATCCCACCGTCCCTATCCCTATCAAGGGCACTGGAGACGTTAAGCTGGCTGGTGCCAGCATTCCTCGCCGCATCGCTGCTCACTGCCTTCCTCCTGCTGCTGCTCATCGTTAGCCTCTCTGCCTCCGCCAAGGCAAATCTGCAGGCCAACAGCGTCAACAGCGTCTTCTTCTGTGCCTTCCATGTCAGTCAGCTGCCCTTCTTGCCAGTCAGCTGCCCTTCTTGCCAGTCAGCTGCCCTTCTTGCCAGTCAGCTGCCCTTCTTGCCAGTCAGCTGCCCTTCTTGCCAGTCAGCTGCCCTTCTTGCCAGTCAGCTGCCCTTCTTGCCAGTCAGCTGCCCTTCTTGCCAGTCAGCTGCCCTTCTTGCCAGTCAGCTGCCCTTCTTGCCAGTCAGGCGCCTTCCATCCCAGTCATTCACCTTCCATCCCAGGCAGCCGATTTCCATGTCACTCACTCAACTTTCATGTCATCCCCCCTCCATCTACCCTCACTTGTCCCTCCCTCGGCCCCCATACTTCCTCCCTCCCCCCCACACAGGCGATTTCAACGTTTTCCAACACAGGGGCAGAACTGCTGAACGATAACCTAATTTTGGGCGCCTCAAAAATAGACCCCTCGGCCCCCATGCTTCCCTCCTCCTTCCCGCACAGGCTATGTCGACGTTTTCCAACACAGGGGCGGCACTGCTGAACGATAACCTAATGGGGTTCGTGAGGGCGCCAGCTCTGGTCATCGTCACGTCGGTCTTCATTCTCATTGGCAATACCATCATGTACCCGCCCACGCTGCGAGCCCTCCTGCTTCTGCTCCGGCACTTCTCACGAGGAGAGAAAAGGGTAAGGTCTGCACCGCACTGCACCCTCTTGAATTTGATCACTCTAAGAGGGAACTTCTGCACCGCACCACACCGGTCTCGTAGATGGCTAATGACTGCACCCTTACCCGTCTTTCCCTTCACATGGTTGCCGTTTTCGCACTAGGTCCCCCACCGCTCTCCAGTCACCTCTCTTCTTGTTCCTGGCTCCCTCCCTCCCTGTGTTGCACTGCACGCACACTTGGCAATCCTTTTTTCTACTGTACCATCCTGCAGGTTGTTTTTGAGGCTGCACATCTTCTCTAAAAAACAACCTCCTTTTTTCTTCTTCTACTGTACCATCCTGCAGTGTGATCCCTCAGAACATCTACTCACACTCTCCTGCATTTGCACACACACTGCGTGCACCCCTGTTGAGGTCATGTGAAAACAGTCTCTTACATCGCAGGGTTCCTATTTTGAAAAATATATCTGCTACCCCCACACCTACATTGTTGACCCCTTCAGTTTGTCCACACCTACCTACCGCATCTCATCTTACAGGCGCACAAATGCCATTAGCACCTCTTCTGAGGTGACTCAAAAGCAGACTCATTGCAGTCGGCGTTTCTTACATTGAGAAGTGTCTGCAACCCTCTCTCACCCTTTGCCCTGGCCGGCAGTTTGTCTACTCGTACCTTCTTTTGCGCCCGCGCAAGTGCTACACGCACCTCTCTTGAGGTGCTTCAAAAGCAGACTCATAAAACTGGGTTCTTCTTATACTGACAAGTGATTTTCGCCCCCCTCACCCCGTGCCCCTCAGTTCGTCTACTCCTACCTTCTCGTGCACCCACGCAAGTGCTACACGCACCTCTTCCCACCGCGCTCCACCGTGATGCTCGTGCTAACAGTGCTCGCGTTCAATCTCACGGAGTTTGTCTTCTTCTGTGCCACTGACTGGACCTCGCCTGCCATTGACGGCTTCACCAGTGAGTTGCAGGTGGACTGCGGGTATGCGAAAAAGACCAACAAACAAGGATTACGTATATATTCCCAGAGGATTTGTCTTCCTGAGGGAACTTTTGCGTCGACTCAAAAGTCACCTAAAGACCAACAAACAAGGATTACGTACGTATTTCCTGAGGATGTGTCTAGGAAGAGAGCACTTCTTCCTTTTGGTGGGGGCTTTGTCTGCCCAAAAAAAAAAACAAAAAACAAAACAAAACCCCACACACAATGTTACTCCACATTCCCCCCACCTCATGGTTGTGTGTGAGTGCATGCCAGGTGGATATTGGCTGGATATTTCCAATCTGTGAGCACACGCAATGCTTTTTGAGGCACCTCAAACACAGTTTCTCCACTCTTCTCCCTCTCTACCCTTTGTGTTTGTGTGTGTGCGCATGGCAGGCGGGACCAAGGTACTGGCAGGATATTTCCAATCTGTGAGCACACGCAACGCGGGATTCAACGTAATTGCCATCGGCCTCCTGCGCCCCCCCATGCTGCTGCTATACCTGGGCATGATGTGAGTGCATGGTGTGAGAGTGCAAGGGGCATGGTGTGAGAGTGCAAGGGGCATGGTGTGAGAGTGCAAGGGGCATGGTGTGAGAGTGCAAGGGGCATGGTGTGAGAGTGCAAGGGGCATGGTGTGAGAGTGCAAGGGGCATGGTGTGAGAGTGCAAGGGGCATGGTGTGAGAGTGCAAGGGGCATGGTGTGAGAGTGCATGGGACATCACCCTCCCTTACATATCCCAGCCTCCCTTCCAAACTCTGCTCAGGTGTGTGGCCATGAATCCTTTGCACAAAAAAATATCATTACCAACTCTGGCTTCACATGGAGTTTCTGAAAATTCTAAAAAACACCCAGCCCCCATTCCATTCCATTTCATTCCATTCCAATCCAATCTCACAACCGCCCTCCTTTCCATCCCCACAACCACCCACCCTTCCATTCCATTCCCTGCTGCTCTCTCGAACGTGAGCAGGTACGTGGCTGTGTATCCTCTGTACCTGACGAGGCAGACATCGAGGGAGCAGAGGGAGGTGTATGATGACGAGGATATTGGGGTGTTCTGGGAAGACCTGCAGGCAGGTTCTGTTCCAAGTCCCTGCGAATGAGTGAGAACTTGTGGGATGGGGAGGGGTGTGGGGGATGGGGAGGGGTGTAGGGGACGAGGCAGACGTCAAGGGAGCAGAGGGAGGTGTAAGACGATGAGGACATTGGGGTGTTCTGGGAAGACCTGCAGGCAAGTTCTTGAGTGGCTTTTGAGTTGACCCAAAAGTCAAGGGAGCAGAGAGAGGTGTATGACGACGAGGACATTGGGGTGTTCTGGCAAGATCTGCAGGTGAGTTCACATTACATCCCTCTGATGCAACAGCAGTCAGATCCTTCGCTCGGGAAACTGCCACTGCTAAAAATTTAAAAATTGGCGCTTAAGACGTCGAGGGAGCAAAGGGAGGTGTACGATGACGAGGACATTGGGATGTTCTGGGAAGACCTGCATTCAAGTTCTTGAGTGGCTTTTGAGTCGAGATGGTCATTAAAGTCTGTTGTGTGTGTGTGTGTGTGTGTGTGTGTGTGTGTGTGTGTGTGTGTGTGTGTGTGTGTGTGTGTGTGTGTGTGTGTGTGTGTATGTGTGTGTGTGTATGTGTCTGTGTTTGTGTCTGTGTCTGTGTCTGCGTGTGTGTGTGTGTGTGTGTGTGGGTGTGTGTGTGTGTGTGTGGGTGGGTGTGTGTGTGTGTGTGTGTGTGTTTTCACTCTTGAGAAACAACTGGGCTTTTCCATCCTTCACCGCCCACCATCCATGCCACTCTCATCCCTCCTCGCTTGTCATTTTGTAACATGGCACATCACACGGCGTGACGCAAGTCATTCAGGGGGGTGTGCTGCTGGATCAGAAGTTATGTAAACAGATAGTGATTCAGCTGGCCTTATACATCACCTGCCCATGTGCCTTCCCTCGACAATCCATGCAGGGGGGGGTGTTGGACCACGGGGTGTTCACCCAGGGCAGAGGGCTGCTCCTGCGCGATTCAGCGATGCTCTTCATGGCTCTGCTGGTGATCTGCCTCATAGAGAGCGCCAACATCACCAACGACATCTCCAACTTCAACATCTTTAACATCGCCTTTGAGCTCATCAGGTGAGTGAGTGCGCCCAGTCCCCACATGCTTGTTCAAACCTTCATCAAGGGACAGCTTAGGCCCTCGATCGCTCTTAATGGCTCTGCTGGTGATCTGCCTTATAGAGAGCGACAACATCACCAACGACATCTCCAACTTCAACATCTTTGAGCAGGTGGGTGTGTGTGTGTGTGTGTGTGTGTGTGTGTGTGTGTGTGTGTGTGTGTGTGTGTGTGTGTGTGTGTGTGTGCGCGTGTGCGTGTGTGTGCGTGCGTGCGTGCGTGCGTGCGTGGGTGTGTGTGTGTTATTTTTTTGTCGGTGCCTCAAAACCCGTCTTCTCAGGTGCTTCGCTTGAGAGGCGTCTCCATAGTGGATTTGGCAAATTTAACCTCTTCTAATTTTGACATGCCTTAGTAATGTGCTTCGCCTGGCCACAGCTGCTTTCTGGTGACTCTGTCTGAACATCTCTCAACATACCCATCCTTGCACGTGTTCTTTCCTGGCAGTGGATACGGCAATGTGGGTCTCTCCCTGGGCTACACCTGTCCACCTGAAGCTGGCCCCAGCTGTGTCTCCCCTCCTTACAGCTTCTCTGGTGCGTCCTATCATATAAATTCCCCAAGTGCCTTCTCGGGTGCGTCATATCGTAGAATTTCCCAAAGTGCCTTCTCTGGAATTCCTGGTCCAAGGTGGTTCGTATTTTAGAATCCTCAAAAGCACCCCGCAGGCGCGGGGGAAATTCCTGGAACTAGGAGGTCCTGGCGATATTTTCAATAGGCTCCTGAAAACCATATTATGCCTCTCTCTCTTCTTCCCTCGAATCCCTCTGATTTCTACCCACAGGCGTGTGGGGCCCTTGGTCGAAGCTGGTGCTCGTGCTCATGATGCCGCTCGGAGTTTTTCTCTCAGATGACTCGGAACAAAGTCATGTTTCTCTCTCCTTTCCACGTACCCCTTTTGCTCCCCACAGGCGTGTGGAGCCCTTGGTCCAAGCTGGTGCTCGTGCTCGTGATGCTGCTGGATGTTTTTTCTTCTGGTTGCACGTCAGTAATAGGTCATGTTTCCCTCTCTCCTTTCCCCGTACCCATTTTCTCCCCACCTTGCAGGTGTGTGGAGCCCTTGGTCCAAGCTGGTTCTCGTGCTGGTAATGCTGCTGGGCCGCCACAGAGGCCTGCCTGACAACATCGACGCTGCCATCTCCCTCACCAACCGCAACCAGTTCATTCCTGAACCACCTGCACTGCCTGCCCCACCTTCTGCATCTGCTGTATCTGCCGTCCCTGTTGTCGCACCTTGCATGCGTTCCACATGTGCACCAAGGTGACTGAAGAGTCGACTCACGAGTCGCTGCCATCCCCATCCCAGGCCTGCACTAGTTCCTCCCTCCCCCGGCCGTACCACCCTCGGCCGCACGTCCCCCTCCCACCCAGGTTGCTCCTCCCTGCCGCTCCTCCCCTGGTCTCTCCTCCCCTAGTCGCCCCTCCCCTAGTCGCCCCTCCCCTAGTCGCCCCTCCCCTAGTCGCCCCTCCCCTAGTCGCCCCTCCCCTAGTCGCCCCTCCCCTAGTCGCCCCTCCCCTAGTCGCCCCTCCCCTAGTCGCCCCTCCCCTAGTCGCCCCTCCCCTAGTCGCCCCTCCCCTAGTCGCCCCTCCCCTAGTCGCCCCTCCCCTAGTCGCCCCTCCCCTAGTCGCCCCTCCCCTAGTCGCCCCTCCCCTAGTCGCCCCTCCCCTAGTCGCCCCTCCCCTAGTCGCCCCTCCCCTAGTCGCCCCTCCCCCGGCCGCTCCCCTCCCCCACCGCTACTCACCTCAGCCTCCCCCCCCTTCCCTCCCCCTCTCCCCCGCTCCACCAACCACTCCACCTTCCACATCTGCTGCATCTGCTCTGCGACCACGTGCTACCAACCAACGAAACGGTGTCTTGCTTCTGGAGGTGGAGAACGGACATAGAAGGTTCCTGCTTTGTTGCTCCAATCGCTTCACTCAGACTTGGGTTCTCCGACTGTCATGCTCGGAGGCGCTGCTTCTTTATCTTCAGTTTCCAATTTCCAATCTACATAATCGAACTTGCTGAGTGCTGATTACTTTGGTTAGTCGCTGCTAGTAATCCAAATGCAAATACAGTATCAACACATCTCACATATGATCATACAATGCATGCAGAAAGAACCTCTAGTCCATCCGAGGGTGTGAACCGCTGTGCTTTGAGCTGACTCAAAATGTATCCATTGGTCATGTAGCACATGCGCCACCTCTAGTTTCCCAGTCAATGGTTCATCATCGCGGCGCCACCCACTCGCCCTCACCACCTCACACAGCCCGTCAAACCTCTCCCCCCCCCCCCCCCCCCCTCCGCCCCTCCTTGCCATGCGCTCATGAGGCATGCGCCCTCCCATCCCTCCCTCACTTCCTCTTATTCGCTGATTCCAGCAGCAGTTGCCAGTCTCCCGGCCGCGCCAGCAAGCCATCGTCACAGCGCCACCCGTTCGCTCTCAGCGCCTCACACAACCCATCAAACCCTCCCGCCATGCGGCCAAAGGAAGCATGCAGCATCTCTAGCTTCTCGAAAGAGGCTAACTTGGCTGCAGTTGCACCCCTCATTTCCTCTTCTCCTCAGGTGCCAGCAGCAGCCACCAATCGCCTCCCTCATTTCGAAGTATTATAGCTTGGAAGATGGTTGACCGAGGCAGTTCAGAGGCGAGAGGTTTGTCCTCTTGTGGATTTTCAGCTTTTTCGTCCAATAGAATTCAAGTTAATCACATGCCATTTTTGTCCCCCTAATGTTCCTAAGAAGTTGCACCCTGCCTTTAAAGGCACAAGTGAGGGATTTTTGGGAGCTGGGGGTGCAATTTTCAGGTGGGGCAGTGCAAGTGAATCCAGCAGAGGCGAATTCGGCTTCACTTGCACCCCTCATTTCCTCTTCTCCTCAGGTGCCAGCAGCAGTCGCCAGTCTCCTGGCCGAGCCAACAAGCCATCGTCACAGCGCCACCCATTCGCTCTCAGCGCCTCACACAACCCATCAAACCCCGCAGCCATGCGGTCATACGAAGCATGCAGCACCTCTAGCTTCCCCAAGGAAGCGAATTCGGCTGCGCGGGCTTGGACGTGGGTGCGCGCTTGGGGTGCGAGAGAGTGGATGGTGGGGCAGAGGACGTGTGGAGAGAGCGTGCGGAGGTAGGCGGCTTGCAGGGCCGCTCTGAGGAAATCCCTTGGGAGTGCCCCCTCCTTCAACACTACCTGCATGGATGGTGGTTGCAGGGGTGAGAAGGCATGGGGATGAGAGGAGAAGGAATAGATGTGAGGGAAAGAGGAGAGCATGCAGCACCTTGATCTGCTTCCCCAAGGAGGAAAACTCGGCGGCGCGGGCTTGGACGTGGGTGCGCGCTTGGGGGGCGAGGGAATGAATGGTGGGGCAGAGGACGTGTGGAGATAGAGTGCGGAGGTAGGCGGCTTGCAGGGCCGCTCTGAGGAAGTCCCGAGGGACTGCTCCTTCCTTCAACACTACCTGCATGGATGGTGGGTAGAAAGAGTGGATGGTGGGGCAGAGGACGTGTGGAGAGAGCGTGCGGAGGTAGGCGGCTTGTAGGGCCGCTCGGAGGAAGTCCTTTGGGAGGGCCCCCTCCTTCAACACTACCTGCAAGAAGAATGGTGAGTGGTTGATAGGGGTGAGAAGGCAAGAGGTGTGGAGAGAGAGTGCGGAGGTAGGCGCCTTGCAGGGCCGCTCGGAAGAAATCCCAAGGAAGAGCTCCTTCTTTCAACACAACCTGCATGGTGAGTGCGTGGGGTGAGGAGGAATGGCGGTGTAACGAGGAGATTATTTAGTGGCAGGTGGATTGGAGGGCAGCCCGGAGGAAATCCCAAGGGAAAGCTCCTTCTTTCAACACAACCTGCATGGTGAGTGCGTGGGGTGAGGAGGCATGGCGATGGAACGAGGAGATCAATCTAGCGGCAGGCAGGTGGATTGGAGGGCAGCCCGGAGGAAGTCCCGAGGGAGAGCTCCTTCTTTCAACAGAACCTGGATGGTGAGTGCGTGGGGTGAGGAGGCATGGCGATGGAACGAGGAGATCAATCTAGCGGCAGGCAGGTGGATTGGAGGGCAGCCCGGAGGAAGTCCCGAGGGAGAGCTCCTTCTTTCAACAGAACCTGGATGGTGGGTGACAGATAGGGGTGGGTGGGAAAGCAAGAGGTGAGAATCTAGATGCAGACAGCTTGCAGTGGGCAGAAAGAGTGGATGGTGGGGCAGAGGGGGTGTGGGGCGAGCGTGCAGAGGTAGGCGGCTTGTAAGGCCGTCGTCACTCATGGTTGGAAGGGCAGCAGCACTAAGAGAAAGTGAGGCGCCTCAAAAAAAGTGGGGCAAGCGTGCAGAGGTAGGTGGCTTGTAAGGCCGCTCGGAGGAAGTCCCGAGGTAGAGCCTCCTCTTTCAACACAGCCTGGTGAGTGACAGGGGTGAGAATGCATGGAGGTAAGAGGAGAAGGAATGGATGTGAGAGGAAGAGGAGAGGTAGTCTGCTTGGAGCGCCGCACAGAGGAAGTCCCGAAGTAGATCCCTCTTCTAGCTCAACTTGCATGGTGCTCTTTCAAGAGAGGGATCTCTTTTGAGACTTCCTCCGTGCGGCGGCGTGACACCCCTAACACAACCTGCATGGTGAGTGTCAGGGGTGGAAGGGACGGGATTGAGACGAGGAGGCACACATGCGGAGGTGGCCGGATTTGTAAGGCCGCCCGGAGGAGGTCCCTAGACAGATCCCTCTTTCAACACAACCTGCAGGCCCCCACACATTCCCGTTCTCCCACCCACCCACGCACACAGATGCACACAGCATGAACCTGCATCTGCCCTGTACGCTCGTCCTGTCAAAGGAGGTACTTCTCTCCTCGGCATATCCCATCCCAGCCACCGCCTCTGCCTCCTCCCACTGCACATCACAGCACAGCACACCTGTGTGTGCCTCACTCCCATCTCAAAACACAAGCATGCGCAGCAGCACACGCACCTGCATCTGCCCCGTACGCTCGTCCCGCCCAAGCAGGTACTTCTCTCCTCGGAATATATCAGCCATGGTCTCAGCCTCCCGCTCTGTGTGCGCCACTGCGGCCAAGGGCACCCCAAATTCGATCCAGTTCTCACTCCCTGTGCCGGGAAGGGGTGGAGGAGACGCCTGGGAAAGGGGACGCGGAGAAGGGGCGGGGGAGGGGAACGGGTGGAGAGGGGGGAATGAGGGGGTTGAGAGGTCTCTTTTTGCGCCACTGCTGCCAAGGGCACTCCGAACTCGATCCAGTTCTCACTGCCTGTGCCTGGACGAGGAGGGGGAGAGGCCTGGAAAGGGGAGGAGGGGAGGGGGTTCGGGTGGAATGGGAGTAAGGGAGTGTTGAGACGTCTGTCTGTGTGAGCCACTGCTGCCTACTTGCCAAGGGCACTCCGAACTCAATCCAGTTCTTGCTACCTGTGCCGGGGAGAGGTGGAGGGGACGCCTGTGAAGAGAGAAAGGGGAGAAGGAGGGATGAGATCTCTCTGTGTGAGTGAGGCACTGCAGCTAAGTGGCACTTGTAACGCACATGCAATGCACATGCACCATACATACATGCACCACACATACATCACACATGCACCACACCAGAGATACCTTGGGCGAAAATATCGATTTGAGGGGCGGCAGAATGGGTTCCTGGGAGTTGACTTCGATGACACCTGGCACCCTGCCATTGGTCACGTACTCTGCCAGGACAATATCTGGGGAAAGAACAGTGGTAGAAGAGAGCACAGGGGAAGCAGAGAGGACAGCGCAGCGGAGCAAGCTACTTAGACAGAAACAGGTGAAGGAGGGAACTAATTGAGTTGTGCTTACAGCGACCGTCGTGCCTTACAGCTCAAAGACACGACGGTCGCTGCTCTGGCGAATGTTTTTGGGGCGCCTCAAACTTTTTGAGATGATTTTTGAGGCGCCTAAAAAACAATTGTGGTTACAGCTCAAAGACATGACATGACAATAGCTGCTCTGGAAGTAACTATCTGCTTCTGAATCCACTGGATTGAATGCTTGTGAGGCTTCCTGCAAGCAAGTACTTATTTTACCTGCTCTGAAGGGGTTGAGCGTCCTGAGTTGAACGGCCTTGTACGAGCGGTAGTTGCAAAACAGGTGGGCGGCGGACAGCAGGCCATGAGTTGCCCACAGTAGAGGGCCCCGGGTGCCCACGTGAGGAGCAACGACGATGCCTAGTGCCATGCCCAATGTCTTGCTCACCATGCCCTGTGCCTCTGCGCGTGCTAGCACCTGAGGGGAGAGGAAGAGGAGGAACAGTCAGAGAAAACACACAAATGGTTGGGTTCGGA